CCCCCCCCCCCATATACTACTCTTCTGGATCAAGCAATGACTTTTCATGAAGGACTTTTTCATGGAACTAATCCGAATTTGAGTTACATGAAAGGAAAACAAAGAAACCCTCTCACTTTTAGCATAACGACAAGGGTATTTAACTCATAATCTGTCTGTCATTGGGAATATTTTTACATCACTGTGCCTCTGCGGTCAGAGCTCAGAGATTAGCACCTGAATCAACTCGTGGCGAAGTGAACGCTCTATCTCTCGAACCACCGTTGTCCTTGTGCTATTTATCATTCAACTGGCAAATTCATTTCCCATATCCATTTTGCAATGGAAGACATAAGACTGAAGATTACACTCAAAACTTGGCAACCGGATGGAAGTTAGCCAGCAAAGGGACAGGAAAGCGAATACTAATAGTATTTAAGTCGTAATTTCACTTCCTTAAATCTACTTATGGCTCACAAACTTACAGAATTTATTAACACAGAAAAATCTTTTGAATGATAAAATTATGCAGATTTAAATATAAGTGTCCATAATAAAACTTACCTAAATAATAAGCCATCATCTCATAAACAAAATTATTTTAAGCCGACACAGGAAGTTAACTAAATTCTGTATCTGTCATCCAAACTTAAAAATTTTATGTTATGCTAGCTTGGCTATACTCTTTCAAAAAAAAAAGAAAAAAAAAAAAGAGGTTTGGTTGAAGAAAAAAAAAGGTTGCACAGCTATAGTTTTGTTTTGAAGAAGGAACTAATATATTGAAACTCACTAGTAGCATATTAAAAAACCTTTTTTAAAAATTTAGATTTATTTCATTGTCCAAAACATAAAATATGCCCTTTTATCCTAGCAGAAATGAAATGGGGTTGAAATCGCCTGTGTTCTCCTTTTCTGTGTCCTCTAATATGAGAATGTGCCTCACACTAAGGGGTATCTGTGGCAGAGTGGTGTAGCTCTTCCCTGTGACTCAGGTTCATAGGTGCCCACCAGGTAATGCTTAATGAGCAACACTTCCAGCATCTTGTGTGCTGAAGAAAATAATAGTACAGTTTCATTAGAAAAAAAAATTATCAAGAAAATGTTGTGAAACCGTTTTTAGCTGTTGTTTTTATTTACATAATTTTAGTCAAGGAAATACTATCTGAACACAAAATAATTGAACATCCTTAAATGTTACAATAGTATTTATTTATCACTCAGTATAATGTATAACAATTTTATAATGATGTTACTATTACAGAGAAAATACTGGTATTTATAGAATTTTAGAAGCAGATATATGATTAAGAACTGATTGTTGAAAAAAGATAACAATGACATTAAAATAGTCTTCCTCAATCATTTAAAAATATGTTAAACGATGTATCTTTAAAATAGGAATAACAAAATTTTTATAAAACAGGAATTAATATATGAACACAAAACAAACTTTGAATAAATTACTACAGTATTTTTTTTTTATTGCTAGAAGTTAAGTTCTCATTTAATACCATGGAAGCATCAGAAATGTACAAAAACAAATACATATTTTTAACTCTTTATTTCACAATGAATCGCAAGTTAAAAGCATAGATATTACCATAGATTAAAATTGTGTGTATGCCATTCATATCAAAATATTTTATGTAAATAATAATTTTTGAAGCAAGCAAAAAAATGTCAAATTTTTTATATCAATATACATAAAATTTATCCAAAATAAGCCTGAAGCTTAAATAAAATGCAAATAATTTTTTATGAAGTGAACTTCTTTTGTATCAAAATACAACAAGTTTAGTAATAAAAACACTAAACTTTTATCACTTAAAATCCTAAATCAGAGTTATTATGCAACTGAACTTAAAAGAAATATGTAACAAACCAATGTTTTTTTATTTCCTTTATTCATATCAAACAAATTAGTGTCATGGTAAGTGATTTATCTGAAATTTTTATTATTACAGAAATGTAATGTTTGAAAAGGTTCAAGATGTTAAAGCATTGAGATAATGTGATGACTTTGCAAAACAGGTAAAAGTCAGGTGTCTAATTTGTGAATGTTAAGGTATGGACAGTTAAAAAGAAAAACTAGTTAATCAGAATTAATGATAGTTTTTTGGTCCAGGGCCCCCAAGAAATAATAATGTGTGGTCCCCGAACCAGCAATCAATGCAAGGGAATGGTACGCTGGTTTGGTCTTTTTTATTGTCACAAAGTAGATTATTACACATTCTCCTTACTGTAATTTTTCATTTAAATTCACTTAATTTAATTTTTTTAGACAAATAATCTAATACAGACATGCAAAGTGATCAGTGAAAATGTGTTTAAATTAGTAATATCTTTTAGTCACGGGTCCACAAACCAGTGACTAAATTTTCTTAATTTCTATCCCTAGATATATGAAGAAGAAAAAAAAACATTTAAATTTATTGAAGGGTATTAAGTTTAAACTAATAGTGAAAAGATTAAAAACTAAAATTAACTCAGGTAAAATGATAATTAATGTATGCGCTCTTTAAGCAAATTTGTATTGCAAAGATACATTTCACAAGTGATATGTAGCTTTTCCGGCAATAAGGTTATTAAAAAAAAATTTCTTCAACAATGCAATAATTTTTTATGTCTTAAGATTGCAAATATTTTGGCAGCATTTAAAAAAATTGGCAGCATTGAACAGCAATAAAAAAAGACTGCAAATTGAACACCATGGTATTAAATGTTTACAGCTTAACATTTTTCAGTGATTTTTTTTAAACAATGCCTCATATTTACAAGCCACCGAATTCATCGCCTAGAGTTGACGCCTACAATAAATAAATACAGGACAGACATTCTAATTTATTTCCTTTTCACAGTTACACCCCTCAAAGTCCAAATTTCAGGCATTCACATCACAGCCTGAAAAAAGAAAGAAAAAAACCTTCCAAACGTTAAGAGTCCACTCTAAAACTTATGTGACAAGTTTTCAAGTCATGCAGGTTTAACTTCAGCCATTTTAAGGTTACATCCGCTGCTACCTGAAAACAGTAAGATAAAGATTTTTAATATAATAAATAATATGCATAATACTTTAAGTGGTTATTATATTTCACAATACAAAATTGAAGAAATGTACCTATTGCAATAATCATATATCAGTGTTCTCCCTAAGCGTTTTTAGAAGGGCGACTTGCCCTTTTATACCTATAAATGCGTCCTTTTGTAAAAATAAGCTTCCATCCCTTAAAACAATGCCTTTTCTGCCCATATTCCATGAAAAAAATAATTCACTGTTAAAATTGTCTGTGTTTATAGGTTTAATTTTCATTACCATTAGAAATATTTACTTTGTTAAGATTATTCTCCACTGGCAAAATTTTAATTTATTTCTAATTTAATTCAAATGGCTAAGTTACTTTCTCTTTCAGGGGCAAAGGGTTTAATATGTTAATAAATTTTAAGTGATTTTAAAATTATTTGTTAAATACATAGCTTTTTTTAAAAATCGACATTAAATATTCTTTTTTTTTTCCAGTTTAAATTACAGAAAAAACTTTCAAGCTGTTTATCAATGAATCAATTTTTTAGTTAATTTAAAAAAAAAAAATTAAGATCAAGCTCAGAAATTGTCTTTTAGCAGACCTTTAATTATTTTTTATAAACTACGAATTTTTCTCATTTTGACAATGTGTGAGAATTTCTTTTTGCAATATATAAATAAAATAGTATCAGAGGGTAATTTAAAGACTGTTGAAGATCAAATTCAGTTATTACATATTTTGATAAGTTTTTATAGAGTTAAGTGAGTGTGCTTTCAAAACTCAAAGTGCCCTTTTCTGTGAAGCACCCTGCCTTTTTTTATTCATAGGGAGAACTCTGCATAGATTTTAATTTTCTTAAAGGGGAGAAGAAAAAAACAGAAAATTTTTTGAAATTGAAGCAAACTGTATGAAAAAACACATTAATTGCTAATGAACTAAGTTATTATTACATATACTATTATTGTACTACAGTTACAATAACCATTTGATACCATATAAATACTTCAAAGCAGTTTACAGTTATTTGGCTGCGAAAAATTAAATGGTAGATTACATTTAAGAGTATTACTTCGAGTTTCTATATTGTTGTACTTTTATTTATGTTATGCTATCAATATTTAGTGCTTATACATAACTAAATTAATTTAAATAAATTAAATATAAATATTGTGTGGATATCCTTAAAAATATACAAGCTTTCACCAGTAAGGAAGTGGGCATAAATTGTTTTACTCTTAGCATAAATGGTTATGCGACATTAGTTTGAGCGCTTATAGCTTTAGGGGACTTATCTAAAATCTAGTTTAAATTACACAAACAAGTTTAAATATATTTGAATATTACCTATTATCTGATGCTGCTTTTATGATTTTAACAAGAAATAAACTGATAAAGGCAACTGCGGCCATTCCAAGTCCAGCTTTCACCCACATTGTCGAGTCTTGTGCCATCGGCAAGTGCCTGCAATTGGACATCAATTAATTAAAATAAAAAATGGATATAACAATATATTTACTATTTGGGCAACAGCTATCTAATCTATTAAGTGTGACTGTGACACATATAATGTAACACATATTAACTGAAGTATTAGTATTAGAAGTTTTTCAGTGCTGTCTTTGAAGAAAAAAAAATTATATTAATCAAGGAAATATTGTATTTTAGTCTTATGCAACTATACAACATTAATTAAGTCAATTTCTAAAAACCTCGATGGATGAAGATCAGTAGTAAATACTATGGCACAAGTAGCAAACAACTGTAACAAGTTTTTCTGTGGTCAAAAAGAAATGCAAAGCAATAAATCAGAATAATAATAATAGTGTCGGTATAAGCAGTAATAATAGTAGTGTCAGTAATGATCAGTAAAATAGTAATATGATAATATACTATTATAGTAATAAAATCAATAATAAAAATTAAATGAAAAAAAAACTTTAAATTCTGTGTGAAAAATGAAATCTTACAAATAAATTAAAATATTTAATACACATCCAGAACATTGAATAATGTATGAAAATGTTCAAATAATGATATTTAATATAACATTGCCACTAATTTCATTTGGGTTTGCATAAAGTTAGATTATTAGGAGTGGGTTATTTACAAATGAAACAAAACAACATGCTTAAAATACCAAGTAATTCTTTATAATAAACCATGCATGCAACAGAAGAAGTTTTTACCCACCTTGACTGACACAACAGCTTCCAAGCAGGTTTGTAGACACTAGAGAGGAAAAGATTTAAACTAAAGAAAGTTATCAGGATTAATACAAGTACATTTCCTAACTTCATTTTTCAATTAAGTTACCCAACTTAGTGTTATACTTTATAACTTATAGAGATTCACCTGAAGTTTTCTGGAGAAAAAAATTTATATATGGGGCATATTTATTGACTGTGGACAATTTCTGCTTTCAAAAAGTTATAAATTATAATATTAATTTTCAGACATAAAGAATAGATATACTATTTCTTTCTGATCTCATTTCATAAATTTTTAAAACTACGTATGAATGAATAAAACTTATCACAATTATAAACCTTTTTATTCAAAGGAATATAAATACCTACTTTTCCTAATTATATTAATAGATTTCAATTATTGAGAGGTTTGGATATTATGTAATGATAAAAAAAGGAAAGAAAACTAACTAAACTAAACTAGATTCGGGAAAATGACATAAAAATTTAAAATTACTATATTTTGATTATTTGTGTGAATATCGAATTTATATGCTATAAATATGTTTTGAATCATAATTAGGCAAGATACAGAACTAACTTTTTTTTAAACTTTTTATCCATAGAATTGGTATAGTCAACTCTGAAATTAACTTTTGTTATAAAAATAAACTGAACATGCTGAAACACGAGTAGCAATGTTTGATTTTGTGACTAGAAATCCCAATTTTTTTTATTTAAAATTCCGTGAATATGAATCCAAATGCGTAATTTATAAATGAGATGACTAAAAATCATAATGCGTAATATTTAAATTGTGCGAATACAAATCACAATGGTTATTAAAATTACTTGAAAACAAATTATGATGTTTGAATTTTAAAGTGAATATAAATTACGTGAATATTAATTTACAAATTGGATAAAAAATAAATATGACGTGTAATTTTTAAATTGTGACAATTCCTATTGCGATACTTGATTTTAAAAATCTTGTGAATACAAATCGCAATCTCTGATTTTTAAATCAATATAAAAACACAGTGTTTTTGAATTTTAAAATGCATAAATATGAATCACGATTGACATCTTTAAATCCTAAGAATATATATCACAATATTTGGTTTCAAAGTCATATGAATACGAATTGCGATATTTGATTTCTAAATCCTCTGAAAACAAATCAAGATGTGCTTTTTCTACATAAAATGTGGTTGATAAGAAGAGTGGAAGCTCACTTGTGTGATCTGCAAATCAAGATAAAATTGTAATTGCAGTTTGTAAATTAGGTCAGTATGAATAGTGAAAAATAAGATTTAAAAAAAAACATGGAATATTTGAAGAGTAAGGAAGAGTTGTAAATCACGTGAATATTAATCGTAAAGCTTGTAAACACAATACGTGATATGAAATTCGTAATACCAGAAGAATAAAAACAAATATGAAGAATTAAATTTTGCCTATTAGCGATATAATCATGCAAAAAATCAAACAAAAATGATAAACATTTTTAATAATTCATATTATTACAATTAAAGTAAAATGACACATTAATGAAAAGAATAAATAATCTAAATTTCAAAGTATGTATCGAGGGTGTTTTAAATTATGGGTAAAATGTTGAAAAATATAGCTTCCAATGTTTAACGTTTTGCTTATAGAGACTAAGTCAACCAAATGAATTGCCCCCAAGAAAAAGCTAGTCACCATGCAATTTTAACAGCTACATCTAACTATTGTCGAACAAGGAGATCTCAAGGTTCACTTGTATACTGATAGTTTACAAGAGGTTGAGATCTCCTCGATAGGTCGGCTAAATGTTACAAATAAAATTGCTACTAATTCTAAAAAAACTCAGATAAATTTACAAATGACCACAATGCAATAACAATTTGCATACACATACACACACAAAAAAATTAAATACAATATGATAAAAGAGTGACTATTTCATGCATGTTCATACCTGCCAACTTTTTCCCAATGGTATTAAAATGGAATTTCAATTTTAAGCAAAAAAAAATATATGTCGTATATGAGAAAGCTTAAGCTAACAACCATGATAGTAACACATATTAATATATATGCTTAATTTTTTTTAAAGATTAGTTATGATCAAAATCATTTAAAAATTAAGTTTATAAAAGAAAAAAATAGTATATATTTATTACCACTTTAAATATAAAAATAAAATTTAACGCCAAATGCGTAAAAGTTGGCAGGTATGCATGTTTCTTCATTGATTTCATATAAATGTAAAAAAATATCAGTAATACAAACACTAAATGTTAGTGCATACAATTTCAGGAATTAACTCACACAAGAAGTGCAAAGCAATAAACTATAAAATAGAAATTTGAAGAAACTTTTTACAAAACAATTTCTATTAAAGACGGCAATTTTGAAATTTGTTTGGGAGACAAATTCAGGTTTTTTTTGTTAAGAATTAGGTGTGTTAAAAAACTTGGTTATGTACAATGTGCCAACTTTTGTTGAATTAAAAAATTATGAATAAAGCCCTATAGACTGTGCAAAAATGTGGAAAATGGCATCATTTATATTTTTTCCACTTATTCAAGCTCGTTTTTTCTATGAAACTTCCAAGCTTTTGACCCAGATCAAGTGACCAACGTACTGTGTATTTAAAAGTATTCCATGGAAGAGTGATCTATTAATAAAACTTGAGTATATTGCATACAAATAATACTTTAACCAGGGCTTAATCAGAGGCTGGAATTCAGAGAGATTTAAAGAACCTACAAGAAAAGCAAAGTATACATGTTTTCTATGCAACCCAATTCAGTAGTTGATGAAACAGCTGTTACTTCCACGTTTTTACAAAACACAAGTAAATTTAGAAATATTTAATTTTGGATCAATCTTACTTCACTTTTTGCAATTGCTTGCTCATTGTTTCACATTGGCTTGTTTTTATAAATGTAATATGCCTTGCCATTGTAAACAAATAAATAAAAAAATTAAAAAAGAGCTTCATGTTTAAAAATTATTGAGATGCTGAATATGGTTATAAAAAAACTTAGTTAAAATCTTCTAGGTAATTGGAAAAACTGCAATTAAAATGAAGAAGAAAATGAAAGGTGTCTTTCGTTTCTAAATCGAGTTATTTTCTGTTTTAGTTATTTTCTAAGCATATCATTCTATCCTTCATGTCCTGTTCGCACAATTTTAAAAAAAAGAAAGAAAATTTTTTTTTTTTATCGGATACTAGTTGCATTATTTGAAAAATATATCAGAATTATTTATAGGGTACAGAATAATAATAATGAAAATATTTACATAAATTAATTTTTTGATTAGATTAGATTTAAAATTTTTTTAGACAAAATAATTTTTTTTTTTATCAAACAGTGACTCATATGCATAAATATATAGAGATAACAGAGATAGAAAATACATACGGATATGCAGCCATAGTGGCAAGCTTAATATATGCATCTTTGCGAATAGCACCATTGGCTGTAAATGCTTGTAGGGGTGGAAGTTTGTGTCTTGCACAGAATTGCAAAGGTTGCATTCCATAGTCTTGTACAGCTGTGGGCAGATCACACTTTGATCCAACAACTAAAACTGGAACTTTACTATCAGCAAAATATTTCTAAAATGAAAAATATTTAAAAGCGTTAGAATTTTTTTGATCACTTTAATGAATAATAATAAATTATATATACTGTCCAACAGTCAAAACTCCTCTAGACTTAAAGTCTGAGGTTATCTGTTGCTATAGAAACGATGTGAATCTATTTTGACTGATATGAAGAGATTTTAAAGTTGTTAAACTTATATGCAAAGAGATAACGGTGTATTACGTGGCCCGCAATTAACTGGGTCAGTTGGTCTGAGATCACTAAAATCAAGCATGGGCTACTATAAATAGTAGCCAGCAATCCCAAAATCCATATACTGATTTCGGACTACAGAACGAAAAAGATGGTATGGCTATCCCTTTTTAGTTGCTATCAGAATAATGGAAAATTTTGGTCCTAATTTGATTTTTGCATGCCTCAGTGAAACGAAGCTAGACTTCTAGATTTCTGGTAAATTGGCCAGATTTTCTTAGAAAAGGAAAAAATTTGCGTATTGATACTTTGGAGCTTCAAACCAAGACATTTTCAAGATCCTTTGGACCCACAGGCAAAAACTTTTCCTGAAGAATCTAACAAAATTTATTTTCTGATCCTTCAAATCCAAGACCTTTCCAATAGAAATTAACAAAATTTTGTTATTGATACCTTTTATTCTAACAGAGAATATTGCCATGAAGTCAAAACAATAAAAAGTAATGAAATTTTATCAGTTATTTTTATTATTTTTATCATTGAAATAAAAAATACAGAAAATCAAATATAATTCTTATAAATATTTAGACGATTTTGTTTCTTACGGAGATTAGTTATATGTATAAAAAAATGGACGATTCATAAAAATGAAAGAAGAGCTAACTTACCATAAATATTCTAGCAACATACTCAAATGAACGGCAGTGACTAGCATCATACATCAAGCATACAACATCACAATAGAGTTCCGGAGGAGTCAATGTGTCATTCATGCCAAATATGTCTACTTCGTGCATCTATAAAACAATTTATACATAAGTATGTAACATAAAATGCCTCATATGAGTATTTTATATTAAATTATAGTTTAAAATAATTATCTCTTAATTCACAATCGCAGATCAGATATTTTATGAAGGGTAATGAATATTAAGTAAGAAATACTCAATTTCCAATAGAAATACTTTTTTTTTGTAGCAAATAGGAAATCATTCCAAGAAGTAATAATCATAAAGAAAATTCTCTTAAAAAGATATGGCGCCATGTTGCAGACTAATAAAGATATTTTGCTTATGTTTATTTATGTAGTTAAAAATCTTGTAAATAATTCTCAACCAAAATTACCATATATAACAGTGGATTAAGCAAAATTGAGTGCTTTTTTTTTTTTACATATTGTTAACATAAGCTACGCCACTAGGTCCATCTAAGTGATAATAAAAATCTGAGATGAAGTAAAAATGTTGCATCCATCACTTTTTTCAATAACATCAGAAGACGTCATATATATACATATATTAAAATATTAATTTTTTTAGTAATTTAAAAATAGCAGAGACTGTAAAAAATGTTAAGATGATTATAAGAAAAATAAAAAATTTAAGTATTCAGAGGAGGATAATAAGTTAATAAAAAACTATATTATAAAACTTACAAGAACATATTTTTCTTGTCCATATACTTGCAATGAATTTATTGTATAGGGAGTGAGCTCAGCTTTATTAATGGATGCCTGCAACTGAAGCGTCTTACCAATGAAGCCTTGCATAAAAGATGTCTAAGAATTGGAATTAAAAAAAAAATCAGATTACATATGATTTAATCATGTTAATAAAATAAAAATAAAACACTTATTATAAGAGTAATAAGAGTCGTGAAGTAATAAATGAGAGTCACAATGTACGATTTTTTAACTGCGTGAATATGAACAGCCATATTAGCAGATTCCGGTGCAACCTAAAAATATGCCAAACCAAAATAATCGAGTTGGAGGAAGAATAACATGTATGTAAACGTATCGATAACATGATTTAGTTAAAATCAGCAAATTAAAAACTCGTATTCCAATGAAGTACTTATATTCTCAAGACGAAGAAGACTAAGAGTTTATAATTTGAGGAAGTCCACGAATTAAAAGCTATCTTGGCTTTAAAATATTAGTCTTGAGAAACACTGAATTCTGCAAATATTCACAGGAAAATCGCAGATCCTGCTTCTAGTTTTAAGATCTGGAAAACCCTGATTACAATTATCCCAGAATACAGTAGAGTCTCAATAATCAGAACTCTGTTAATCCAAAAACATTAAGGAATACTGATTCTATCAACCAAACCCCCAACGAGTATCTGAATAGTTCTTCAACACCAAATATTCAACTAGGTAAAAGATTCTCTACCTTTTCATACCTAGGGAACACTCTTTAACTGCATATTTTTGGCTGATGAAATATGCAGTGCCCAAAAATGTACCGTGAACCATTAACTTACCGACACAAAGGACATAGAAAGTCCAGTGATTAAAGTGGGAATCACACATATTTCTCAGAGTTTTAACAACTAATGTTCTCTTCAGAAGGAGAAGGTTCCAGGTTAGTTTTGACCTCTATTATGCAAATAGAAGAGTTTTGTGTGCCCTTCAGTATTACCTGTACCTATGATAGAATAAGCCTAAGGGCTTATTACTGGTTACCTTTTGGCTTATTATTGGGCAGTACCAGTAATGAGTTAAAAAGTTCATTACTGGTTATCCTCAGGCTCATTTTACAGCACCAGTCATAAGCCTAAGGTGCTAAGTAATAAATCTACTTGTGCAGCCCACTGCTGTAAACACTTGGAATGAAAATGTTCAAATATATAAATTCATTGTCACATTGAACAATTTTAACTGAAATTCTTATGCATCTCAATGTAACATGATGGGAAGATGAAGCTTTGTCTTATACAATGTCGACAAAAATTACAAGAAACAGAAATTTCAATCTGAGATTTGGGTAAGAACATTAGCAGCGAGGAACTATTGAATACAAATCAACATACTAACCTTTCCAGCACCTTGAGGTCCAACCACTTGGCAGTGAAACACATTTCTGCTGGTCTGCCTCCGTTGAAGGTCAAGTTTTTTCTCACGAGTAACTGTGGAGGGATAAAAGAGATGCAAATAATGATGAGTTGCTTAATAAATAATACAGGTATGAGATTGCAAAACAAAAGAGTGGGAAAAAGTAAGAAAAAAAGTATGTTTTTGAAAACAACATAGAAAACTATTTTGTCTACAGTATAATGTGGCTTTCAGAAGAACATCTCCAGACATCAGACTTGTGTGGTTGCGGATTTTATGGTTGACAGGGTAAGTTACTTCAGAAAGGGGTGTGAGGGCGAATAGCTTGGTCTTGATCATGCCTGTACGTGCCTTGGCACATGCCAGTGGCAGAATCTTTGCTTTGTAGCCAATTGACTCCTCCATTTCTTCAAATGCACCCCCATTAGAAATGTGCTCTCTCTTGTTACCATAGCAGCAGACAGTCACAGACATTTAGTTTGGAGGAGTTCTCCTCAAAGCCTAACAGAACCTTTAGTAAGCATCGATAATTTTGCTCAAATACTCTTTCAATGGATTAAGAGTATCAGATTAAATATTATAAAATAACAATTTTAAGCACCTACATTTTTAAATGTTAACAAGAGGACTGATATACTTTTTCACCAATAGAACATCAAGCCAAAAAATACAGCATTTGATAAATGTTCACATTATCTTAAAAAATTAAAGTGTTGTTTTAAATTATGATTAAAGAAATTACATTCCTACTGGAAATTATTGATAGGAATGTAATGTCTTAGATAGAAAAGTCCTCAGAAATCTTAGTATAACATGTATAAACTTTCCTCTTTTGAAAGAATCTAAATTGCCAGACACTGAACTTAATTTTATCAATCAATGGCTTTAAAAATTTCATTGATTATTTACTACACATTTGCAAAAGTATATAATAGGAAATTTTGGAAACATAATGATCTTATAAAATATTTTTTTTTAAAGTGAGAAAAACTATAGAAAATTGTGAATCAGTGGGAGAATTTCATAGATGATAATACTAAATGCAAAACTCAGTAAATTCAATAAAATACCTATTATGGCAGATAATTGATTCTCATCAGCATTTGCAATATATCCTAAGTAAGCTAAAAATTCCATTAATCTATTCACATCAATAGCTGCAATTAGCCTGAAAAATAAATACATCTTTAACTAGTAATTATTTTAACCATCTTTGGCACAAAAAGTATTTAGTAAATTAGTAAGAATAAATGTTTAAGTTTTGAGGATTAAAACAAAAAATATGCTCAAACAGTAGTATCGATGGATAAATATAAACATCAGTGCTGGAGTTTTTTCTTAATAAGCTTTGAAAAAACTGATGCAACAGATACAAATTAAACAAAGACAACGCTAAAATTTTGCAAAATATACTTCATGTATCAGATTATATACTAATTAGTCGATAAAAAAAAATTATTCCACAGACTTTGCCATTATTATTAATTGCTGCAAAATTATGTTCTTCAAAATGATGTAAAAAGTTTTATACCTTAAAATTCAAAATTTTCTTGACCTTCATTAAATAAAGTAATAAAAAATGATAAATATTTACTAAAAGTTATTTTTTGCATGGAATCTTTGGATAAACAAATTTTATAATTGTGTGAAAATTTTTATAGTATTTTCATTTCCATTGTGTTCTTTTTTCTTTATTGGTTCAAATAATTGTGTGCAACTTACTTAACAAGTTCTTGACATTTTCAATTTCAAGTCATTTTTCAGCTTACTAAATAAGTTCTCGAGATATGCAAAAAAGTAAAATTAACATTAAGAAGTCCTAACTTTAGAGTGCTTTTCCGACCAAACTATGGAAACCATATTTTTTAGATTGTGGCTACCCCTATATTTTGGGGGTCAGAAATCTGAATTCATTGGGAAAAAAAAGGTATGATTATTCAGAGAAAGCAACTTTTGGTGTCTGATTTCGCAACTTAAAATATCTTCTGCACTTACTATATTAGCATGTTTGAGGATACCCTCTCGAGCCATTAAGATTGAGTCCTAGAACATGAAGATCCAATCATTAGATTGAAAGTTATTCCGGGTTAGTCTGTTTCATTGCACACTAAACATGTGTATGCGTTTGTTATAAAGAACAAGGACACTTTGCTTTCATTTCTATGAATTATTTTTTATAATGATGAAGAAAAAAAATCTTAACAATTTCTCTTCAATTTTATGAGGCAGATAACAGAGCTGATAATTTTTAAAACACGAGTAAAAATGTGAACACTCAATTATGTGCCAACATTTGACAAAGAACCAGTTATTCCTCCACACTTCTTATCATTTAACATAACATCATGTTAATCACTATATCACAAGTATATGAAATGAAATTAAAAATATCTGGAATAAAAGAGCTCTTTAATATGAATGTTTTCAAATGTAGTAATAAAAAACAAAAAACAATATGGAATATGGTTTAATAATGATTAACACTTACGTCCACTGTGCCAGGTACCCTTGCAGAGTAATCCAACCAACATCATTGGTTGGTACAACATTCACAATTTCAGGTCCCCAAGCAATCACTGGACATGTACTAAAAAGATCTGAAACCTCTTCTGGAGATAGGCATCCATCTTTGTCCTAGTAATTATGAAGACATATCATAGTACCATAACATCATTAATGAATCATTTAATTTATGTAAGTTTATATATATTGAATTCAACTTGATAAATATGGATACAAGAAGCAAATAACAGTTTTTATATTATATACCAGGGGTTTCCAACTTACATGAGGCCAGCGGCCGCAATTAAAAACATCAGTCAAACAGAGGGCCGCGACCTTATCAAAATTTTATATGGGACTCTTTTATGCTTGATGGAACATTAAATATTACTGTCAGATTTTTATCAAGTTGTACAAAACAAAGGTATTAAATTACAAATTAAAATAAGAAGTAGATTTTTAAAATTTTTTAATTGCATATTAAAAAAAATGCTGGCCACAAAATTTACAAATGTAAATAATTTCTTCTAAAATGAATAGGGTTTCAAAAAGTTAAATTGGAGAATTTCTTCGAGAAAATTTATGATACACACATGCTAAATTATATTCGCAAAACAAAAACAAAAAAGAGCAACATACATGATTATTTTTGTATTTGAATAAATATTTTCTTGCATGCAAAACTTGAGGAATAAATTTTTGCTGCACCGTTGGTATGTTAAATTTCACAGAAACGAAGAAATTAGTTTTTCTTTAAAGAAACAAAAGTATTTTAAACTCATATAGATGTTTTACGAAAATTGTCCGCAAAAATAACAGCAAATATATATTACAGTTTGTGGTCCACAAAAAAAGGCTTTTAGCGCCGGATGTGGCCTTTGGGCCGCCAGTTGGTAATCACTATTATACACAATATAAATATATGCGCTACAGTGAATGACTTAAATCAAGAAAATGTCAACTTTCACCGGTGAATGTCAACTATCACATAGTCGTTTTGGTGAATGTCTGAAATATTTGCTATATCTAACTTGATATTAATTTATTCGTTGATATTATAATAATTATTCGATATTTTAATATCTGCTGAGGATAGATTAGGATAAACATCAGTGTTCGGAATACTGGTTAAATGCATACTGGGCAGTGGCACTTGACCTTAAAAAAACATTGATGTAGGGCATACCAGGCAGTGGCACTTTACTAGAACTAGTATATACTTCAAACTTAAAATTAAATTATTTTTCTTCTTTGGTTGACATTGAAATATTGTGTTGACTTCAAACACAAACTGTCGAGGCTGGACTCAGGTTTTACGACCCAGGGATGAAATTTTTTGTGGGTCCTTTTATTCAAAGTACAAAAAGTGATATTTTGTAGAATTTATGAAGATTCTGCATTCAAAATTGTAGTCTTTTTAAAGACAGAAAGGAATTCTTCCAAATTTCCTTCAAAAAAAATTTACATTTTTTTAAAAAAAGAATTGTGATTGGGCCCTGAGATCTCTCCCTCGAGTAATGACTTTCAAGTTGTATTTAATATTCATAAATTGTGTCTTCTATGCGTTTTAAACATTTAAAGACACACTGCCCCCAAAAAATTTAAACTAAAAATAAAAACAATTATAGCATTTAATACTTCTAATAGAGAATAAAAAAATAAATATTTACCTGGTCATATTTTTCGAATAATGTTGTTAAAAAATGGTAACCTTGATGACTGAGCTCTGTAGTGCATCCAGGAGGAACCACCAACCTTCAAATAAGAATAAAAATTCCTTACAATTAAAAAAGCACACATCACTGCGGTAAAATCCGGAATTTTGTTTTAATTTAATCATAATTCTTTTTCTATTTATAAATTTAAAATCTGTTTGCTCATTTACAATACCCTGAAGTTTTGAAAATGTTTAGAGGAAATTAAATCAAGGTCTCTTTCACATTCCTTTTCTTTGTATTTAAAACATGAAGTAGAATTTTGCAAGTTAGAATTTTGATATTATTGAAAAACTAAAATTGATTCACTTCTTCTGAAAACTGTGCGAAACAATACAATTTGGAACAGACAGCTGATAAAATTATTCAAAAACAATGCAAATAAAAACTATGACCATGTTCTAAATAATAATATCTGATAATAAATTCACTCTGCTTAATGGATATTTTTAAGGTATCAGACTCGAATCAGGTAAAGATAAACGAATTGAAAAACTAAAAAAGACGCAGGAACAATTCAAACAGAAAAACAAAGTCGAGATAATAATTTTTAAGTTTAATCTCTATGTTACAATTAGAAAAAGTTAACAAATTTTAAATTAAGCTAGCACCATTATATTTTTGAAAATAATAATGAAACAATAATATAACATGAATTTAAAACAAAATGTAAGTTTTTTTTTTTTTTTAAATCAATATTTGCTAGTGTCTCTGCAAAGTGAAAACATTTTTAGACTATATTAAAAAACATGTTAAAATCTGTTTCAAAAAACTTTCTACTAAGCTCTGAATTAATAAAAAAATAAAGCTATCCAAGGCAAAAACATTATATTTGATTAATAAAAAAAATTTGAAAAAACAGGCTCTTAAATTACCTAGGGCACAAATATTCTCTTGAAAGGTTAATATTGTCATCATAACCGAACTTCCTTAACACGGTCCAAGTTGTTTCATGTCGACCTCTTTGAATAAACAAAATGTGCAGGAAAAGAAAACCTGGAACAAAAAATAATAAATAACCAATATACAATCAATAACCAATATACAATCAATAACCAATATACAATAACCGAATACAATCAGTATTTTACCATAAATATATACAGGACATCTCAAAAATTATCTAAGACGAGAATGAAAGAGAATTGTGTACTTGCACTTCAAGAAGATGACTTTCCATACCTACACAAATGATCCATGACGTCAGCACCAGCTAATCTTTATATAGCGTGGGTAGTCAAATTATTCAACAAAAAATAAGCATATTTTAAGCACTCAAAAAATATTTTTAAGCACTTTAAAAAAATATCATAATTAGGCATGTTTTTAAAGTTTTTGTCAATTGACAGTTTTATCTTGTTTCATCTGTCATGTCAAAGGAAAAAAAACTTTTGGCATTGTTTTTGACAATTGCCAAAAATCATGAAATTTTGAATCGTGAAAAAAAAAATGGCATTTTTATAAGCGATGGATTGACAATAAGCCGAAATAGATTGAGGTTGAATTAACTATGAAAACGTTGAATAAAACAATGTCTTTTTGCATAATTTGTAGCAAAAATCAACATGGTAAATGAAAAATCTCATTTTGAAAAAGGGAAAATTAAGCACTTCTTAAAAACACCCAATGATAAAAGCACCTTTCAGGGCTTTTAAAAACAAAAATGGAAAATAAGCATTTTTTAAAAACACTACGCACCCTGTTATAAGCATAATGGCATGTTAAAGTTGAACTAAGTTTCTCCACATAAGTTAGAATGTTAATTAACAATAAGTTAATAGCTAATTAACAATAAGTTAATAGCTAATTAACAATAAGTTAATTAAATACAGAGTTCACTTCGAATGAGTTGAAATATAATTCTTCCTCGTCTACTACTTTTGCTTAACATAGATTTATTATTTGTTTATGTGTTCGGTTGTAACTGTGATAAATTTTTGTTTTGTGTACCTAGCAACTTTGATGCATAATTAGTTTATGTTCCACATGATGGCCTTGGTTTACTCAAAATAAAATAGAAAGAACAGTTCTATAATTTTATATACCATTAATGTAGCATAGAGTTCACTGGCATAGAACCAACATTTTGAAAAAGAATGAAACATGGCACACTTTAAGTAATCTGGTGATATTCCTTTATGTTGCACTATATGAACTTTAACATGAAAACTTGAATTAGGTGTAGTAATACCTTCAGTAAAAATTCAGAATTTAATTTTAAATCAGACATGTTAAAAAAGTGCTTATGCAGTATACATGCAATTAAAAAAAAAAAAAAAAGTAAATATGCACTAAAAATAAAACTATTTAAGAGTAATTTTTTCAGAAAAAAAATTATATATATGCTGCTATATATAACAAATTAGAATCTTAATTTGAAACAAAAAATTTTTTATATTCAGTACTGTTTAATCTTGTTTTTTTAAGAGATTCAGTTCATTATACAAATAACTTTTTTGTAAATTTGGTATAACTGATTGAGTAAATATAGAGTTTTAAGGATAGTTTATGGTTAAATTCTTTAATGGAGAAGTTTCTATATATAAATTATTTTAAAGTATCTAAAACAAAATAATATTTTTTGCTCTGTATTTATAATTCATAAAAAGTATTTGTATTGGTATTATTTTTCAATATTGGCAGCTTTGATTGATAATAAAATGAGATAAAAAATGCTTAGAATCCATAATTCAATCATAATTCTTAATTATATTATATGGTTAACATAAAATAAATATGACTATAATGTAAAATATACTTTTAAACATACCACTTAATGTCAGACCATCATTTTTAATGCCATCCGTTGTGTTTTTTCCAACAACACATTTGACATCATCCAAGGCATGAGGTTGCAAGGGAGTACCAAAACAACGTCTCTGAAATAAAAATATTTGTTTTAAATAGTCAAGAAAAAAATTACTACTTTATGATATACAATATATTGAAGAATAATTAGAAATAAATAAAATTGCCTTGACATTTAAGCAGTTTAAAGAACCCCATACATCATTACAAAAGAGCATGAATACTTTTGCATATACAGGCTAAATATTAAAAATATCATAATTTTCTATTTTATTTGCATTAACTATGTTTCTTTTTTTTTTAATTTACACTTTACATTAATTCTTTTTCACAAGAGAACAAAATTATTAAAAATTTATAATATCACTTTAAAAGAACAAAAGAAAAATACATTTAAATTTATAAACAGCAAGAAAATATGGAAAACAAAGGTTACTTTTTAAATTTCTCTCATTATCAATAATACATTTTTATTTCAATTTTATTTTATTTTTAAAGAAAAAGGTCTTAGCAGGTCACAAGAGCATATTAAAATGCATTAATAAAAGATTTGCAGATAATTATGCATTAAAAATTACTTTAATACGCATTGAAAATTGAGAAATAGTTTAAACAATCAGCAATACTCTTGTGCAGGCGTAAGGGCAGCATTTATAGAGAACTGAATGGATAATTTTCACTTAGAAATCAGCACTTTATGAAAAAAATAGAAACATTATAAAAAAGGTAATGTTTATGTGCCATTCATAAACTTTTAGGTACCAGAGCAATCAAGTTTTGACTTTCTTGCATCTGAATAGTTATGGTGTTAAGTGATCGTGCACCAAAACAAATATTCTGCTATTTTAAATGTTTAGTTTACTTAGTTTAAAATAAAAAGCATTAAACTTAATACAAATATAACCAACCCATTTTTTCGATAATATGCTACAAACAAAGAACTTTAAGAATGTATGAGTGGGGTACAAATGCAAGTTTTCAGTGGCCTCTAAAAAAATATGTTCTAGAAGCACAGAACACCCTTATTAAGGTCCTGGTGGTACTGTCATATCAAATAAAAATTTTAAAAAACTGGGCTCAGAGGGTCCCTTTTAGACATCAGAAAGAGCAGACATTTTCTATCCACACTAATATAATCTTTTTAGTTATCTTTATCACTGTATGTTAGGTTACTCAAAATAAGACTTACTTGAAATTGATTTAGTTCGTAATCACTAAGAATCCCATCATTGTCATAATCACAAATCTAAAGTAAATGAAATCCAAATTCATAAGAACTCTTAAAAAAGAAATAACAAGATAATTTTCTATTTTATTTTATAAACTCAACATACCTTAAAAATTCTAGTCAAAGCTTTTTTGCACTTCTCTGTAAGCTAAAACAAAATAATATGAGTTATGAGAAATAAGAATGTAAACAAAAGAAGTTTAGGTTCTATCACTTTAATTCATAACATAGAAAAGGACATTTTTTACTTCGAACCCTTTCTCATTATGAAAATTTCTAAGCAACCCAACAAATCAATATAAATAGTTATTAAATTTAGGGATCGTCCATTAAAAATTGATATTCTTAAAACCCTAAAGTTAGCTTTTCTTGATTTAGTCTTTTTATGAACTTTTAATATAGTTAGTCTGTTTCACTGAAAATTTTTTCATTATGCACCACAAGGAAAACATTTTGAAATTCAGTACTTAATCAAAATTCCAGAAATAGTAGAACTGCTTAGAAAAATCATGTTGAAAAAGTAAGAAAAATAAGATTTTGCTTAAGAAAATAAAAGTTTAAGGAGAAATTTATCTGCAAGAACTATTCCTAATTATCATCTTCTAAAAAATTTTAGCTGGTCTGAATCTTAAACAAAGATGTTAAAGTTAATTTTTCTCATGAATTGCCAGAATTATTAGTTTTTCCTTCTTATATCTTTCCTAAGTATTCTTTACAGTTTAGAGTGAATAGGTTGAGATACATATTGGGTACAGGACCCATAGTTTGAGCTAAAGGCTTTCTTGCCTAAGAAAACCAATTTTCAAAATGTTATTTTATATGTTATTTAATCATATTTAAATATGTTTATAAATTATGGTAAATAGTTAATAACATAATTTTTATGTGAAATAAAATGATAAGAAAGTTCATTTTTAATTTTAGAGAAATTCTCTAAAAGTCTTCAAATAATATTGAAATAAGAAAAGAAAATAAAAATGAGATAGTTTAAAACCAATCACATACATCTCTAGTTTCTGTAACATACAGTGGAGTAGTTGGATGTAAAACAGCTTTTTGTGCGTAATAAAATAATTCTGAAATGTTCCTCAAAGTCTTTGCAGAACACTAAAAAAAAATAAACAATTATTAATATACTAATCTCAATACGTCTAAATTTAAAGTAAGAAAAATCTTAACCGTAATTTTAGAAGATTATTTGAAGAAAATTCACTTACTTCCACACATGATTCTATTTCAGCATACTGATTCATTATAGGAAGAATAATCTATACAAATAAATAGAAAAAAAAACACACAGTTAATTTGAAGCTCTACAGGAAATTTATTTGATTCAGTATGTGTCATTTAATATTTACCTCTAAAGAACTATAGTCTACTAAATCTATTTTATTTCCTACTAGCACTATAGGAATAAGATGATGTTCACCAAGCTGTTCTTGAATAAAAGGCAACCAATGGGAAGTTATCTAAAACAGATTAAAAAAATAATTTAATTATAAACTTTAAAAAAACTCTTGAGAACATCGAAGTAAACAATAATGATGAGACACTTGGTATCAGAAAATTTTTTAAAATGCATTAAAAGAAGTTAAATTCAATAAAATTATTTCAGAATATGAAACAAGAAAAAAAATCAAAAAACTAAATATATAGTACATGAAAATTACTTATAACAATCCCAGTAGGAAAAATAATTACAAGGTTTTTATATAAAAAAAAGTAAAAGAAAGGAAAGACAACTTTTTAAGTGGCTTTTACTTATGAACAGAGAAAAACATTTTTAATTAATATATTCTGAACAATACACAAGTTTAAAATAAAAAGTTTTTTTTTTCTGCATTTGAATCACCAAAAAAGCAGGTTCTTACTGAAACAAAGAAGTCAATTCAAAATTCAAAAAATGTAATGCCAGCAAAAACTTTATTTTTAGAAACATCCCTTAGAATTAACCAATCTTCATTAAATTTTGTTTCGAGGCATTTCATTGAAATAAAAAAATTTCTCAACAAAAAATATTTTTAAAAACAAAAATGCATGCCAATAATTAAAGATTAAAAACATTTTACTACTTATTCAACTGCACATGAAAATAGAAACGTAATAAGAATAATGAAATATTATATTGGAACAAACATAACATAGAATTCTGCCCGAAAAAATAAGAAATACTCTTTACGTTCGCCACTTTCGTAACTGTAAAAATTAGCAAGTAAAATAACTGCCTATTTTCAATCCAATATTTTTCATATAGCTCATTTTTATAATTTATTATCAACTAAATGAACTAATATTGAAAATAATGAATGTTTTTATAACAATGGTTAATACTTGGCTATAGAAAAAAAGTGATAGTAATAAGGTTTTTTTAAAATTATTTTAGGGTGGGTGAAGGATGAAAGGCAATCAATTTCGATTTGTAGTCAAGGTCATAGATTGAAAGAAAACACAGTCCCTTTTTTTCCCCTTTCAACTTGGTTGAAACCGTTCGTTATCCACAAGAACAGCTTTCCCCCCAGTAAATTAGCAATGTTGAAAAAAAAATTCATGTCCCGTATGTAATTCCTTTCAAAGTGTGGCATTTCAAGAACATTCTAAAAATGCTGAAATCGAAACCAAAAATAAATAAAAAAAATATAGGACAAAGGCATTGTTTTTTTTTTTAATTCAGAACAAATAAAGGTCACTTTACAGCACCTTTTTTAAAAAATAGGAAATAGGACTGTGAGGCCTGCTAAAAGGCATTATACATTAATAACTCGAAAAACATAATAAACTTGTTTTTTAAAGGCTTTCAGTTAGCTTATACAGGTAAGAAAAAACAGGTACACTATGTGTTTATTTTGTTCGACTAAATTTATTATGTTTTAAATCCACCTGCGTTTAAATGCTTGATTATATACAGTTGTGTGAATCATAAAAGTACTGAAATCCCAATTCTACTGAAGGACCAAACAATTATGAAGGGAAAAGAGTTTGGAGGAAATATGTTATTCAGTTACTATATGGTAATAATCATTATACATATTATTTACAGTAAAAATTATGATAGGGAAAAAATTACCCTGTCAATGGTATCATCGTCATCCACAGCATACACAACACAGATAACATTTGCCTATAGAAGAAAAAAATAACTTTAAAACTTCATGTTTCAGAAATGTTAATTTTTAAAAAAAATCATACAGCGTAGAAAGAAATCTACATGTGATCAGAATATAATGATTAACAGGAATATCACAAAATGTGACAGATAAACAGACAACATAATACGTTGACGTGAACACATTAAATATACTTATGAAAAAAATTATTGAAACTAATTAAAATTGTCTAAACTATTTAAAATACAAAAATGAATATAAGAAACATATTAATCATCCTACAATTTATACAACTATTTTTAACTTAGTTTTAGAGTTGCCTCACTAATATAAAATATATACCCTATGAATTTCCGTGATGAGGGACTCCTCGGTTTGCTCTTGAGCTAGAAAAAAAAGGAAAGAAAAATATATTTTAAAATAGAGATCTATAAACACATTAATTTCGAAGTGCTAAAAAAATAGTTATTGCCAAATAAGTAAAAAAAAAAAAAACTTTTGGTTATTGAAAGTTTCTGCCACTACTGTTACAGATCATAGCCTTTACTCTATATATTAATGGAAATATTTATTTTTGTCCACCATGGTGACAAAATCTATTTTGTCCCTGTTACATCTTTAGATACCCACACACGGTAGTGTTAAAAACAAAAACACTTTATATGAATAAGCCAATGTTTCAACTTGACTTTGGAAATTATGCATATTAGGACCCAGGACTTCTGTATTTTTAGGGACCCTTTAAAATAAAAGAGGGTCTCTGCTTGAAATATTAGTTCTCAATCTCTTTTTATCCATCTATTGATATTTTTATTCATAATGTTATTTTATCTATTGAGTGACAAAACAAATAATTTAAAATCAAGAAGGATTATTTTTTAACTTCTAATTAGAATTGACAAAATACCTGTATCAAGGAAAAGCAACAATGTTATTTAATACTCAAAATTATTCTAATTTTCTCTTCCAGTTGTTAATAAGAAAAGAAATTTCGTTCAATTAATTATATTTAAAGTTTAGTTATAATTTTGCCTACATAAATGCAGTAATAATCTCATTTTTATATCGCCAGAACGATAGTCAGAATTATTTTAAGTTTATCTTTCAGCTATTAATTTAAATGATAAAGATAGTTTAATTATAGTTCAAGTTTCATTATGATTTTACCTACATAAATCCACTAGTATTCTTATTTTTTACGTCACCTCTATGATTTTTAGCATATTGGAGCGTTTTACCACGAAGACAGATTCACTGATGAGTTTTCTAACAGTTCACCTCCCCAATTAAATTTCCAACTACCACTTCCCTAAATTAAAATTTTCCTACCAGTTTCTCAATCAAAGTTTTGAACTTTCAAATCATTTGTTCAATTCATTATTATTATAAGTGATTTCAGACAGGCATTGTAGTGTGTTAAATACACCAGAAATCACAGTTGGGACATAAAAAAAGATAATGACATGTTATTTTCATTTCAAATTGCTGAAAGAATATTTTTGCAACTTAATAATAGTATTTTCCATTAAAAATAAATGGTGAGAAATAATAAACAGTAAAAATAATCTATTATTCAATAATTCCTTATGGGTACATAATCATTTTATATTAGGCTGAAATGATATTTAGTTTTTAAATTTTTAAATTTGCATAATATTCAGGTTTTTAATTAAAAAAAAGTAAAATTAATATTAAGGGACAAAACTTTAGAACAATCTATTGAATAAACTATTAGGATTTTAAGTCCCAGATTGCAGACAGCCCCATATTTTGAGGGTCAGAAATTCATATCCTATCAGAGGGTCATATTTATTTAAAGAAAGTTTATTTTTGTCTCATTTTATATATTGTCTGCACAAATAAATCAGCATATTTAAGGTTAGGCACTCTAACCACTAAAATATGGTTTCAGTAAGAGATAATCCAATCACAATATAAATGTTATTCAAGCTGTTTTTTTCTTTCTTTTTTTTTTTTGACTCTACAATAGCGTACTATGTCTCTCAAATACGATATATAATGTTAACTAAATAATCCCAAGAAACTGAAGCGGTAAGATATTACTTGATTAAAAACTTTATAAAAGACATTACTTATTTGCTTCAAAAATATTCGAATTGGAAATAACATACAGATTTCAAGAGCTCAAAAACAGGCACCCATTTTCAAAACTTGCTAGAAATGAATAAGAAACAAAAGAGGGAAAAAAAAAGAAACTCCACCTTTGCTTTATCTTAATCATGTCCGGAAAGTCTTGAAAATAGAACCCTGTTTTAGAGTGTTTGAAGCATGTCAACCGTTAATTCCTAATAGTATATTTTTGAAGTCAGCGAAGTTTTAATGAAGTAATGATATGAAATGTTTTAAAAATAATAAATACCTTGCAGCAATACGTAATTTTCAAAAGGTAGAAAAAATCTAAAACTTGAAATAAAAAAGAGTCTTACCAGAGTAATCCACAATATTAGTAGGAACCTTCTCTGGGGTAACATCAGCTGGTATTGTGATTTCTTCTGCTCTTGGTGGAACATCTTCAGGAAATTCTTCACTCACAAGAGACAAAATTAGAGAAGTCTTTCCTACACCAGCTAAAATAATAAAATCAGTAAACTATGTAATTAAATAAACAACAGAAATCATAGACATTACAAAAATATTTTCTCAAAAATTAATTTTGGTACTTATCTATTTCCTCAATGCAAGTAAATTCAGCTATTTTTTTCATAAATTTCTTTAATTCATTATCTTTATTTATTCAAATAAAAATATTTAAAAAAGTAACAATATAAATTTACTGTTCTTTAATTGGCAATTTTATTGTCCTCGTTGGTGAAATGTAGAAGTAAGTAATGTAAATATCAAAAATCACAGACATTGCAAAGGCATATTTTTTTTTTCAAAATAAGAATTTAAAAAAACTAGGAGGCTCCGCCCCCTGCTCGCTAACGCTCGCCAACCCCCGAGAATTGCTACACAATCCTATGTGGTTCACGCCGTGAACCATGGCTCGCTGCGCTCGCTCACCAATCAACACAATGTTCTAGCACAAAGACATAATATATTATCATCAAAGACATAGTATTTTATCATCAAAGACATAGTATTGTACTTATGTAGATGAATTCTACCAATGTTCTTATTGGCTTTTAAAAAAGTATATTAGCTATTTAGATTGTACATGGTGAAAAAATCAAAACATTAGCTAAATAAGAAACATATTAGCAAAATAAATTATCAAATATTGCTTCACTAATATTCTGCATTCAATGCATAAATAAACGCGAAATATAAAAAAATTCAATGCATTCAATACAAACACTTAAACGTTTTTTAGACGTTTAGGTAGCTCCCAGTAGAAAAATATCAATTCAACAGCGGCCTTTTAAAGCATTCTCACTTCAATTAATTAATTAATTCCTAATTGAGTTTAAATTAAATATTGTCATGTTTTTAGTGCATGAATCTGACTTGAACAACCTGATAATGCTCACTCTGGTTATTGTTATCTGGTTGCTCACTACGTGCTCTTGCGCGCCGAATCAAATCAATTAAAAATGATACTGATGCCAGCGCGAAAAAAGAAATATCATCGGTTTCATTAATACATACATACATACGTACGTATTAGCGTTTTATATAATAAGATGGTAAGAAAATATATGGGTATTCTATAATACATATATAGCTGTTCTAAAACAGTTTAAAATTGTGTTTTGAAAATTGCAACTAACAGAGAAAAATTATAAAATTAAATTTTATTTAACCAGGTAACATTTTTGATGGGGATAATTCCGTATTGTGATCTTCCAAGGCCAACAACAATCGCTAAGACGCCAAATTGTTTTTGAACAGCAACATTTAAAAAATTTTAAAAAATCATGTAGAGGTTTAGATGGCGGTGGCTACAAGTTATACTCTTTAAGTTGGTCCATTTCTGTGATTTTATTATTATTTTAAAAAAATAATAACTTTTTTACTCGCGGGCCGCTGCCTGGAAGTTCGCAAGACTTGGGAATTATTCTTTCATAGTTGACGATACGGAAATCTTCCCTTTTAGCAAACACTTATTATTGCTTGAAATTAGTCGCACAGCAATTTCTTTTGTCCCCCGCCAGTGTTTACTAACTCTAAGTACTAGTTTAACAAGTTTTTTCCCTATGGGTGGTAATTGATAAATATTATACATAAATATAGTTTACTAATACTATAATATAGATAACTATACATAAATATAGTTAACTGTAAATTAAAAGCATAATTCAATATAATTTAACATAGAGGAGACATTAAAATGTACAAAAACAAAAGAGGTGTTATAAAAACTAATCACAAATAAAATACTTATTTCTGAAAAAGAATCTTTAATTGATGCATTTTTTAACACATAATCTTTGAAAATAGATAAAATTAAGATTTTAAACAATAATTAATAAATAAGTGTTAATGATTCAAATCTGTTTGCGACTTTAAAATAGTTAGTGCGAATTTCAACACAGCATACCAATGGTAGAATTTATTCCTCTCTTCGTGAACACATTTCAACACGAACAAAGAATACCAATATTACACGCGTAGAGTAATAAACATCAAGATGCAATACTTACGATCACCCACAAGCAAAATTCTAACTTCTTTTTTCCCATTTTTCGGACCCATTCTGAAACTATCAACACCTAGAACTAAGAAATAAAATTGGGACTAATATAAAGAAAAAGGAAAATAAAAGATGGATTCAAACGCAAAATTTCAGTAGATATAATTAAGAAATAAATTTTAATGAAAACTTACGTCTAAATGCTCAATAAAAATGAATAATTTGGATGTTTTGATTTGTTGTTTACCATCCTTATATGGTGACTAATCAGTAACAATTACAAATCGTATGAAGTCTTGGAAATTATAAAGTATAGCCGTAAAAACTTAATTAAAGAAACATCCAAAAATCTTTTTAAATCAACAGATTAATTTTAATTCATCTCTAGGAATAAAAAACACGAAAACAAATAACAAAACTACCGGATCCTTAAAAAATACATGTTAATTGGAAATGATGCCAACTTTTAAATTGAGTTCGGATAAATTATAATATGAGCAAAAATAATAAAGGAGAACTTACTCCAATAAAATTTTACCTTGCATTTTTAAAAAATATTTATTTTTACTGAATTGTTATTCAATATTTTAAATTTAAATACATGAAAAAGTTTTAAAAACGTAATATTGTATGTTTTTTAAAACTGTAAATGGCAATGATATCACAAAAAAAGAACAAACAAAACATCCGCGCTTATTTTAAGTTTCAGTTTCTTCACATTTTGCTCAAAAATACAATTTGATATTGTGTTTTCGCTTTTCAGTTATCGATTTCTTTTGTACTAAATTGCATGGAGTTTGTATTATAATTCATCAACTTATCTTTTATATCAAGGATTAGCATTAAATTAAATCCAGCATATGTCTTGGAATCGTTCTTTTGATGAAAGGAAAGGAATAAGAGAGATATGTCGACAAAGTAAATATGAGAAAATTTTCATTATAACAAATTCCAATATTTGAATTTTAATGATTTAATAGTCGTCATCATACTATACGCTTGAAAAATTGTTTGTTAGCATAGCTTTGTTGTCTGCCAATATGTTAACTTTTCTTGTGTTTTCAGGGGTCTGTCCAGGCCAAATTTACTACCTTCACAAATTCAACTTTAGGAATAACGGTAGTTTCACAAAATACTTTTTCTTAAAATTTTATTTTTGTATCCCGTAAGAAACGATAAATCCATACTTTTGTATTGATTTTTTAATATAATTTTTAATCTTCACAAATTATGTCTAAATTTTCCCAAAATAGATACCTCTCAGAAAAACCTAGACAGACCCTGGTACTTTATATAATTTTGTGGTTATTAATGGATTAGCTTGTTTTTGTAAGAAACTATTTTACATAGGTTGTGATGATTCCTTCTTTTATTACCCGATTTTTCAAGTAAATATGAAAAATCCACAAACTTATTCGACTATTTTATGGAAATCGATTCAAATAAATAACAAAAAAAAAGAGAATTAGAGAAGGGGATAAAAAGAGAATTATTAAAATCACCGATTTTAACCTTCTATATTTGTTGAAGTTTGAAAGATATTTTGTGATGTGATCTGTTGCGTCAACTTTTATCACCAAGGTGCATGAATTTCAAGCTTGCAACTTTTTTGAACAAGTAAAAAAAGGTTGCCTAAGGGGTCCCATGAGTTATACCCTTCAAATCTGTTATTTTAAACTTGCAATTTTTACAAAAAGAAAAAAAACGTGTTGAGGTGTCGGCCCCAGGGTGGCTACGAGTTATACCTTTTCAGTTGTTCCCCTTACAGGCTGCTGAATGGATGTTGCCAAGTCCTTGCGTTTATTCTGCTGCAGAGCATGATACGGAAATTTTCCCGAAATTTCTACAGTGTAAGAGGATAAATATTTATATACACATTTAAAAGTTTGATAAAGTTAACAACCTTAATGCAAATTTTAAGTTAATTCTAGAATGTTCTGCAATACATATAATCTACTTAGATTTTTTCTACTGTTTGATGAAGTATTAGTTTTTTTTTCTTTCAGAAATATTGAATGACTTTATCAAAAAAGTTAAGGAAGCAAATGAGTGGACTGTTCTAGTTCTTGGGCCAACTGGAATGAATTTAATATCTTCTTGTTTCACAACAGAAGAACTAATAGCTGAAAACATAGCTTGTTAGTTTGATCATTATTTTATATGTTTAATCTGTACCTAAATACTTTAATTTTTTCAAAAATTATTTGTGATTTGTTGTTTAAATAATAAGCAATTTTTGTAACTTATTTTTGTTTACGTTTTTTAAATTATCTATAGGTCAATAAATTATGTAACTGCACAACACCAGCTTTTTTTAAATTCTTTTTGTGCTTAGCAGTCAAAACTCAGATAAAAAGTATAATACTTAATATTATTTAACAATAATACTGCTACTAAAATTCTTAACACCATTAATAATAAAAAGTTAATATCATTATTTATTACTAAATAAATGAAATGAGTTACTTATTTTTTATTTAACTCAAAACCTTAATGAATTGTAAAGACAGAGAACCAATTTGTCAAATGAAAAGTAAATTTTTGGTCAAAAAGCATTTTTTTTAATTATTTATTTTTGGCAGAACGAGCCTTTATTCTTTAATTATTTATAGATACTCTGACTACATATTTAATAAGTTTAAAAATTACTTGCATTAAAATAAATATGTCTAAATTGAAATGGCTATACTTGAAGTATATTTATTGATTATAAAACAACTAAATATTTTGCATACTACCATAAGCATATTAAAATATAAAAATGACTAATATAATGCAAATGTATTTAAATAAACTAATAAAAAAGCAAGATTCACTTTTAAAACAGGGATATTTCTATATAACATTCAAAAGAATGAGTAAACACTTGCTTATGAAACCAGTAGTAGTTAAATAAAAAATACTAATAAAGAACTTACAATATAGCGACAAGCAACCTTTTTTACAAATGAGTAATGAAAAGTTATAATTTAAAAGTTACATTCTTATGTGCAGTTAAATACTTGAACATAAAAAAGAAAGATACCAATATATATATATATTTTTAATTTATTTACATTTTTCTCATTATAAAAATAAAACTTTTATTATCAATGAGAATGATATCAGTGAATTATTATCGCAGCCTTAAATATATATACATATTAGATAATGCAGTACTGTATAAAAAAAATATTTTCTTTATAAGTCTATGATTTAAAAAAAAAATCTTGTGATTTAAATCAATTATTTTTTTTAAGTGAAATGTTATTAAATATGCTAATAATGCTTTTTATTTTTCTTGTCATTTTTTTGCGTCAGTTCTTAGGGTTTGCCCTCCATGCACTTTCACAAATAGATGATAATTGAATTTTTAATGAAATTAATTTCTGTGACATCAAAGTTGAATTTATGTTCGTATTTTAAAAATTCCACTTCTGATGTAAAGGAACATGAACTGAAATAAAAATAGATACATTTTAAATAAAAAGTAAATATATGTATATATATATATGTATAATTTAAAAAATTATTTCAAATTACATTTAATATTATTTTTACGTGATACATCTTGTTTTTGAGAAGCGGTTAAGCATTTATATATTTATAATTGAAAGTTTTTAGAATATATTTTTTCCCCTCTAGTGATTGAGCGACTAGATAACAAAAGGAACCCCTTGCTTTATCTTCATGCAACATATATATTGATTCCTTCTGAACAGGTAAATATCACGTTTTTTTTCTCATTAGCTTATCCTCAATAATTTGTTATCTTATAAAGGCAACCTTAAAAGTATTTTTAAAAATTAATTTGTTGTTGTTGTGGTGTTTTTATTTCTAATTCCTGAAGTTATAGCTCTATGATACCATCTCCTTGAAATAGATTCCTTAATACAAATAAACTAGTGTGTAAAGTTTTCAACAGCAAATAATACTAATTAACTACTACAACTTATTTATTTAATTTATTATTATTACCTTATCTTAAAACAGTAATAGGCATTTTTATTTATAAATTATTTTCATGCCTGCATGCTGCTAAACTTCTAAAGGTTAAGCTGTTTTATTTAATTTACTTTGTGATTTAAAATAAGGAAAGAAAAATATTTAAGAAGGTTGTTTAACACTTATTTTTCTTTGAAATTATATTTTCTTGCTTTTGTTTATAGAATTTTTTATATTTTATTTCCTTTAAGTGCAGTAGAAAATCTCTATGAGGCAATTCTATGAACCGCTATTCTTCATAAACTTCATCATATTTGTAGGCGTAAACAATGTAATCACATTGAAAAAATTTCTGAAACTGCGCAAGTACCATTCACAGTTTACTGGCTGCAAAAGAAAAAAAAAAATCATTTGCTGAAGGGTTACAATCATTAAAAATTACAAACCAAACTTTATAATTTTTTTGTTAATTCTTATGTTTTTGCTAATTTTATTTTTTTTTGTCTGTAAATTAGCAATATTTAAGTACATGTTTGATATCTAAAAATTATTGTAAAACATTTAAATATTGATCTGTTCGAAATATGAATTGCCATATTTAGTATTTACTGAAAAAATTTATATATGCCGAAAACATTTATTCTTTTTAAATAATAATTACACACTGGTAAAATTATCTGTGTTAATAGGTTTAATTCTGATTACTATTGCAATATAAATTGCTATATTAACCAGGTAAGTTTAATTATTTATAAAATGATCTGTTTAGTGCAAAATTCTGTATAATATAAAACCTCACATTTCAAGGTTTGCGTTATAAAGATCTTCTACAAAATTATCTTTCATTGCAAATATATTTCTTTTAAAACAAAGTTATTTGAATTTTGTTTCATAACACTAATAAAACTCATTGCATAAGAAAAACTTGTTTTGAAGATAAATGATGCTAATAATTTTTTTATTTTATTTATGTTTCGATGTAAAACAACAGACTACTGCTAAGAAGAAACATGATTGATTGTTTAAGTGTTTTATAAAAACATAAAATGCAAATGTGATCTAAATATTAAATGTAGAGTGTCAACTTTTGTACTTAACCTCAAAAATAATGTTCCAGCACCATTTTAACTCCTGGTGGAGAAAAACTGATCTATTTTTTTTCTTTTAAAAATTTATTTGAATGAAATAGTATCATCTACAAATTCGATATAGTTTTAGTCTGTTGTTATTATTATTTTTTTTTGCTATCTAGCTTTAAGCATGTCAGCTTTAATTATGCTAACATATATTTATTAAGTATGATCATAATTTATTCTAAATGTATTGTGGAAATTTCAGAAAGGCCCATTTTGTCATATAAAAAAATTATAGTCTCCCCAACATCACAAGTATTAGAATAGAAAACTCTGTTAATCAAGATGAGAAATTTTGTTGCTGAATCTTTGATACTTGGTAGTTCTTAATAAAACACCTTTTCACTTTTATTCTGAGAGCATTACTAATTTAAAAAACATATATATATATATTATTTAAAAGTTAATATTATCAGAAGTTGTTTTGTCTGAATTAATTTAGTTAATTTTGAGATTGAAATATATGTTTTAAACTGTGAGTACATTAAACTTTTTGTAATTATATTACAAGTTTTCATTTGAGTGATATTGTGAAAAACTATTAAAAGAATTGCTGATGAAATAATAATAAGATATCATGATTTTATAGAACATAGAACTTTTGCTGCAAGATTTCGCTGCATCCAACTATAAACGAGTGCATCTATTATTTTTATCAGGTATTTTAATATCTGTCTTTTATAATTTCGCTAATAAAACTGTGTTAGACTTATTTAATTCATAATTTTCTATTTAGCTGTTCCTGATGACATGTTCAATTCGATGGCATCGTCAATTAATCCATTCAAAGTTCTTACTTTTTCGGAATTGGATATGCTTTTCTTACCAAAGGAATCTCAGGTTTGCTGCATAAATAAAATATTGAAAACAAGCAATTTATTTTACACATATATTCTGGGTACTTCAAAAAGTTATTGTCGAAATGGAAAGACAAAGGCATACACAGAAAAAAAAAATCCCATTTAAACATGCAGTGACAAACACTATCTAGAATGTTATAATCAAGAACACATATATTCGTTAAGTGCCTGCCATTTGAAAAAAATAATAATAAAAATAATCAAGAACCATAAACAAGAACCACAGTGCTCTCCCTAAGTGTTTTATGAAGGGCGGCCCGCCTTGCTTGCCCTTTGATCCCAATAAATGCGCCTTTTTAGCTCTTTTTGTAAAAGTAATCCACCTCTCCTTGAAAACACTGCCTTTTTATTCAGATTCCATTTTGAAAATTTTTATTCATTGTTTTTAAATAATAATTACATACTGGTAAAATTATCTGTGTTTATAGGTTTAATTCTGATTACTATTACAAATATTTACTACGTTATGATTATTTTCAACTGGTTAAATTTTTGTAAGTATCTTTTTTCAAAGGGGATATTAATAATTTTTTTAAGTAATTTTAAATTTTAAAATTATTTTTTTAAATAAATCTTTTTTTTTTAAATGCATCTTTAAAAGTTTATTTTCTAAAAATTTTCAGTTTAAATCATAAAGAAAAATTTCAATTAATAACTTTTTGCTATTACTTTTTTTGAAAAAATAGCATGCCATTAATTATTTTTATAAATTACAAATATTTCTCTGATTTTGATAATGATGGAGAATTACCATTTGAAATATACTCATAAAATAGTATGAAAGGACAATTTAAAAGTTGTTGAGCTTAAAATTTAGTTATTCTATAATATTATGCATTTTGATAAATATTTACAATTTTAAGTGATGCTCTTTGAAAACTCATAGTGCCCTTTACAAAGAGAAAGCGCTCTGCCCTTTTTTATTCTTAGGGAGAACTGTTAGAACCATTTAACATTATTTTAGACACAGCTCAAAATGCCTATTTAAGAAAATGTACCTGGCTCAAAAGAATGCTTTCTTTGCCCTTTTATGCAGTTGGCTTTAAAAATTTGCTCTCAAAATAAAAAGCTCTTTAAAAAGAACCTTCATTGGCAAACTTTACCCATAACTTGGCATCAAAAGCATAATAAAAATATTCAAAGTGAGATCAATTTTACTAATTATTTAAATTTTTTTATGAATAGCTTATTTTCAAATGCCTGCAATAGTTAAAGCACTTTGTCATTAATTCTGACTATGGTTCTATTCCTGGTGGTCTGACGAGCCTAATGCAGTTTCTATTGGAAGTCTGGGACCTGTACACAATGCTAAACCATTACATTATAACCATCTTGATGTTGTTTTCAAAATTGTGGTTCTTTGAATTCCATGGCCAATATATGGGTGTTGTGCAGTGCTTTACTTAACATTTTTTTCTTTTTCAAATTTAATTCTCTGCTAAGCAAAGCTCGATAATCATATGACCCGAAAAACCCAGTGACGATAACAATTCTAATTAGACATGTACTTTTGCCCTTACATGCCTGAATGAGCATGCAGAGTTACCATCTTTTCAAAATTTTGAAACTTTATTCAATCCCCCGTATGGTTCTTATACTCCACAAATTTCAATTTATTTCTTCAAAATAGTAATTTTAATGTTTGACGTGTAAAAAATAAAATGAAAAAAAAATACAAGCATCGTTTTTATAAAAGAAAAGGGAAGAAATGATTGAAAATAAACGAAAAATAACCAGATTTGAAAATGAAAATCCTAGATGGAGTTTATTATTATTTTTGTTTTTTTTTTTTTGTTCAGAACGTGTGTTTATTTTTTTAAAAGATATTTTTTGATTTGGAGCTAAAAAAAAAATTGTTTCCTTCTTAAATGTGTAATAATTTAAAAATTTTTTTTTTTTTTTAGGAAAAGAAAATTTGAAAAGGTTAAAATATTTTGGCAATTTTTTTTTCATATCTTTTTATCAAGAATTGCTAAAAATACTTACAATCGATTTAACTACTACTTCAAATGATGAAATTGGTTTTTCTAGTTTATATGCTTTGATATAGATTTAATGTGGTTAATGTCACTTTTTTCAGCAGATTAATAGTAAATGTATTCAGATGTTTTCATTAATGTGCAATTAAAATATATGCTTGGAAGTTCACTTTGGGCATGTACTTTGTACACTGCTGTTGCACACATTGTTGGTAACAAAGGATTTACTTTGCATTACATTATGATTAACACTACACAAAATCATAATTTAAAAAAGTGAAATGAAGTTTTTAGTTAACTCCTCTTTCTAATAAATGTTTTATTTTTAGGTCTTCACACTGCAGGATCATAAATTTTTCTCCACATTTTACAATTCTTACTCTGATGTCAGCCCTGTGGAATTGGAGAGAGTGGCTAAAAAACTTGTTACTGTCTTTTCTGTTCTTGGAGTAGTTCCTCTCATTCGATACAGAAGGTAAAAAATTAAATAATGAATAAACCATGCTTTATTTGCAATTTTATAACAGTTGTCAATAAAATAAAACAGTATTGGCCTGTGTTCCTTCAGTACTATTTGAATAATTTAGTTTTCTCGCTTACTGAAATAAAGAGTTGCTTGAGTAGAAAAATCTATTTCTTTTACAGCTTGAAAGTAACTTAACTGTTATATAAGTATAGTTATTTTTTGTTTACAGAAAATAAATAAATCGAAAGAAAATAGCATAACTGATTTATAGATAGAATATACTATTTTTCTTACAAATTAACATAACTGTTAAGTAGAATAATCTAATTTTCTCACATTATTGCATAACTCTGTTATTTTTTCTCTCCTCCCCCCTTTTTCTTTAAGTAGTATCTAATGCATTTGGGCAAAAAATGCTTAAACTGTATTTACATATATATATATATATATATTTGTTAATCAAACTAAGCTACCAACAAAAATTTAATTAAAAATATTTTTTTTTAAAAAATAGTAATCAAAGTTCATAGTTGATAATTGTAAAATAGAGGATATTTATTATTTTAGCATTAAAACGTAACTCGTAGCAAATTGAAATTTCTATAATAAATCTTTTTTATGTGCAAGAAATTGTTCTAAATTTTTGATTGGGGAAAATTGTTTTCAAATTTTCCTTGAAAAAATTTTGTTTATAAGCTATGTTAAAATTTCTAATACAATTTTTATAATTGCTGCACATGAAGTATATATTTTTAGTTGAAAAATATATTAAGTATGCCATATTATTACTTTGACAATTTATTCAATTAAATATTTTTTATCTCCTAGAAATTTTGTGAAAAATTTCATTTTTGCTGAAACATTGCAAAAAGAACTGAATGCTGTGAAGGAATCTATTTGGAAAATAACAGTAAATTTAATTTTTATCTTTTCCATGAATAATGCATAAAATGTCATTTTAGTATTTAAAATATCCAGCCTAATTATGGGGAGATGGTGGCACCAAAATTTGAAAAATTCTGATAGAATTTTGAAAAATACAAATTATTAAACAGCGTAATAAGGTGAACAGATATAATAAAAAAACATTTTTATGCTTTTTATTATATCTGCTCACTTTATTTTAATCATATGTTTATTTGCTAGTGAATTTTTCAACTTCCAATAATTTTTTAAAATTTGCTTAAAAAATGTTTCTTTAATGTTCATGTTAAAAAATTTTTCAGTGATATAATAAATGGCTTCGAAAAAGTGGTATAGTATTTGATATTAATTAATTAACTATTTTCTGCTGTTAATCCCCATTCCATTAAAAAAGTTCTCATTAGTTCAAAATAAATAATTTCAAAAATTCCTTGCTTCTTATAATTCTGATCAAGTCACAGTCTAAATCTCTCCTAAATTATGGTATTTGAGAATCTTTTAATTCACCCAGACAAATGGTAATACCGAAAAAAATAAGTCCTACTACATTGAATATTTTTTTTAAATGAAACTGTTCTATAAATAGGATGTTGAACGTTAAACGATTAATTAAAAATGTATTTAATTTCTTCACGATTGTTCTGACTGAATGCTAAAAATGTTGAGCTATGATGGCTCAGGGAATAGAGCTCTCACCTTTTAATGAGGTGAACCGGGTTCGAATTCCAAGGATGGCTGATCGATACAAATTCCGCAGCCTGTTCACACCGACCACAGTGTTGACGTAAAATATCCTCAGTGGTAGGCGGATCATGGGTTAGAGACCCCTTGCTATCAGACTAACCGTGGGCGGTTTTCGAGGTTTTCCTCTCCACATAACACAAATGTGGGTTAGTTCCATCAAGAAGTCCTCTACGAAGGCAAATTTCTCTCAATACTTGATCCCTTGTCTTCTAGATTGGGTTTAAAATTAAAAGGCTACGAGTTGAACATTAGCCGTTAACCCCCAAAAAATTGAGTCGGCTGTTCAACCGCGATTATAAAATAAAAAATGCTAAGAATGTTGATTTAAATAATGAATGATATTTCTGTGAGTAGGAAAATAAGCACGGAACAAATTCTTCTCTAATCATCACTATCTATAGTATACAATGCGATTGTTATATAAACTTTTAAATCTCTTGATTTTGTACGAAGTACAAAAAATCAACAGACAATTTTAAAAAATCTAAGGAAAAAAAGAGATAGATCAAGAAGTTTATCAATAGTTATTGCTGCAAATAAAAAAAACTGTATACTTTTAAAAAAGTTCTATTTGATTATCTTAAATATGTTCCTCTTCTTGATTGCTATTTTGGTCTCTTTTATTCCAAAATAGCCAAAAGCTAAAAACAGGTGTCAAGTTCTGATTCTGGACCGAGGATTTGACTGTATAAGTCCTCTTCTTCATGAATTTACATTTCAGGCCATGGCTTATGACGTCCTTGACATTAAAGATGATATCTATGAGTTTACTTTAACTCAAGGAAGAGAAGTGGGAACCACTCAGAAAATCCTACTGACTGAAGACGACCCTTTGTGGTGCCAGTTGAGGCATGAACATATGGCTGATGTTGCTAAGTAAGAATCAGGATGTTATAATGTTCCCCCTCAATATTCAATTATTAAATTGGTATCAACTAGCATTATCTGCAGAAAGCAGGTAAAACCTGGAATTGTCAAGGAATTTTATTTTACTGAGAATAGTTAGGGAAAGTTTTTTTTGAAAAAAACCTAGAAAATTCCTATATTATACCTGGAAAATAACCAGTCTTAGAATTCTCAGTAACTGCAATCAGTTATTGAGATTCAAGTTAAATAATTCTAGCATCGGTTAGAATTATTTTATAAAATTTCACTTTTTAATGAAACTTTTCCATTCTCATTCTATTGTATGTTTGTGCTCCTAAAATCTAATATTTGACATTCTGATAAGAAAATTAAAATTTTCTGATGAAACATTGCATGGTATAGATAAAATGTCTTATGCATTTCCATTGAAATTTACCTGATATACCTGGAAAAATCAGGGAATTTTTTTCCTGAAACTGAGTGTGAACCCTGAAAAAGTTACAACATGCAGGATGTCTCCTGAAAAAGTCCTGTATTGATTTGTGTTTTTTCTTCTTTTTTTTGTTTACTTTGTATGCTATTGTTTGTTATTGTTTATTATTTACTTTTGAATGCTACAGAGCTTTATTTTGTTTTAAAATTCTCAATTTTTAAACTGTTTGTTTCTAGACTGATACAAAATAAGGTAGAAACTGACACTTTGATGGAAAAAACCTCATTTATTAGGCAAAAAGGTATTCCAAATCTAAGTGATACAATAAAACAGTTTATTCTAAGTAAGAGAAATGAAACGTTCTACAGTTATAGACACATGGCAAATGAATGCATGAAACAATTTTGTGCTGGACTCAATAATGCTTCAGACTTGGAACAAGTAATTATAGTTTTAACTTTTATTTATTTTATTTTTATAGTGATACGACTTGGACAGATAGACATGTAAGTAAATTAATCAAAAATTGTACATTTTATATTTTATAACTTCTAAATCATTGCTCTTCTTTGCTTGATATTGATTTTAATTGATTCAGCTCACTTGTTTCTCAAAGCCAGGCCAAATATTAATTTACTTTAAAAAAAAAGGGTCATAAAATATCGTACAACCAATAATTTATGTTCTTTTGCATCTTATCTATAAACTATTTTAAAATGACAAAAATCAAGAATAAACTGGAACTGCAATGAAACGACATATCAGTTTTTAAAAAAAAGACATTGAAATTATGCTTTACTGTACATAAAAAACAATACCTTTATTGCCCACATATTTATTGCTTGTCGGATTTAGAAATTTCTGAGGACTCATTGCTAAAATTTGTTAATATACCTAAGGTAGCTTCCTACTGGAAAATTAGCTAGTGAAATAAATATGTTGTCTATCGTTACTAATTTTCTACTTTATCCTCTTTTAGAATCTTGCTATAGGTACAACATTTGAAGGAAAGCAATTTGGAAGACCACTATCAAATGTTATGACTGTGATTTCAGATCCTACTTTGGATTTGAATGTTAAGCTAAGATTACTGTTGTTGTATATTTTCTTTGAGAAAGGTAAACAATTTATTGTATACTATTTTAGAATTGTGTTCTTAAAGACTTATCAAAGGTCATTTTAAGAAGAAAATGTCCATTTATTTTTTCTTTAACTTTTTCCAGTTTAATTTTTTAATAATTAAAGTGAGCCCTTCAAAAATTGTGAAAACAGACTCTTCATAGCAGTTATATTGTACAGACCCTTCACAAAATTCTCCTTTATCAAAATTTTCAGAAACAGAATTGATGATGTCTTTAATTTATAATTTCAAAACAACTCCATGCAAAACATGGTATGGTTTTACTGCTTATTTTCCTCATAGCAATATGATTTTATTTTAGCATAGTTATAGAATTAGGACCCTGCCATAAAACTCCCAATTCTACCATAAATTTAGATTTTAAAAAAATTCATTATTATTTTTAATTTTTTTTACAAAATCACAAAAACTGAACTCAAGTTTTGCTGTTGCAACAGGACTTGAGTTCTTTTTTCTCTATTTAAGTATACTTTGTTCCAAATATTTTTTCAATAGTATTTCTAAACAAACTCTTTAAAAACATTGTAATATCGAACTCTAAGTATTTAAGCTCTCTTAGAATCATTCCTAATGAAATGTTATTTATATTTTTTAATATTTATATTTTAATACATCTCTTTCAATGGTTAATCTTTGAAAGCTTTGAAAAAAAAATTATTAATAAGAAAATTCAACAAATAATTATTTTTTACTGTGTGATGTTTATATTTTATTAACATTTAATATGTATATCAAATGTACATATACATTCAAACACTGCTCAAAATAGTTAAAGGATATTGAGGTTGTGAGTTGATCTTGCACCTGGAGAATTATTTGAATGATTGATACATTATCAAAAGATGTAGTAGGCTATATGGGATAAAAATGACATTTGTTTGGCAAAAAAAAAATGCTTTTATTGAGTTGTTGATAATTTTTTTCTGCTTTGTCTTACAGTACATTGAAAGCCAAATCGAATTCGCTGCCACTAAAGCGTCGTCTATGACGTTAAACTCAAAATTTGCATATTGCGAGGTTTGAAAATTAGAAAAATTTGCATTTGTGATTTTTTTCCATTTTGTGCAAAAGAAATTGCTTATACCGTTATTTTATACAAGACATACAATATCTTTTAATTGTTTTGAGTAGTTTATATACATATGCATGTACATATATACATTCACCATAAACATATACATGCATACATATACATGCATACATATACATGTATACATATGCATATACATCCATACATATACTACATATGTAATTATATGTATATATACATATTACTATCAGCATTTGTTTTGTCTTTTTTCAAAAAATTTTATTATTAGCAAAACCTATGCAAAAATTCATTTTATCCTTCCGCTATGTTTTATCTCTCTTATTTTTTTCTTCTTTTTTTACTTGCAAATAACATATTTTCTTTTCAAGGAAGCAATCTCTTTTAGTAAATATTATATTTAAAAAAATTTTTGTTTTCCTTTAAAATTTTCTTATCTCTAATTTACTTATATATTTGCTATAATTTACAAAACTTTATTTAAAAAAAAAAATTAAATGAGGCACACTTTAAAATATTATATGAAATTCTTATTTTAGAATATTTGGTATTGTATATATTGCCTAAAATGTTTTTCTTTATCACCACAGTTCAGTTTTTCCCTTCTTTTAAAGGTATTTATAATAAGTAAGTTTGTTTGGCAAAACTTGCATTCCTCTGTAGACTTATTTCAACTTAATATAAGTTTTAAGTCCTAGTTTCATGTTTTTTTTATAGTTTTAAATAATCTTAATATTATATATTTTTTCAAAGGTATTTCTAAGCAACAATTTGAAGATATTATGAAAGAAGCACAAATACCTTTTTCCGCTGCTTCTAAACTCGCTAATATTCTTCATTTGGATACTGACCTATTTCATCCAGTAAGTTTTTTTAAACTATAAATAGGAAACATACATAGTTTGGAAATTCTTGAAGTCAGAAAGGGAGATGAGGGCTTCAAAGCAAATGACTTTTCTACAGAACATCGACTAAGGTTTTCCCCATCCCAATGTTTCTTATATATCGCTAGTTGATAGCGTTCTGCAAATTCCATTCTACAGTTTCATGTAAATCTGCGTCTAGAGTTATTCAACTTCTATTCTTTCCAAATTATGCATCACATATTTCAATTTGTAAACGCAATAGTTTTCTCAATGACGAGATTCATAATACATGCTTATTCAAATTGAAAATTCAACATCATGATATTTACGGATGATATTAATGATATTTACGGATATGTTACATGATAAAAATCGTGATGGGTGTTCAAGAGATTTATGAATTGCACATTATGACTCATGTGAATGCAATTTTCAAATCATAGTTCATGATCCATATCAAGGTGATTTGCTAAGCTAGCAACAAAATATATGAAAACTTTATCATGAGCTAGAAAGCTTCTTTCTGTTATCAGGCTAGTCTCCCCTCTTATAGTAACTTGATTGTATGAAATGGTCAAATACAGTCAGTCCCGCTTAAAGCAATATTATTGGTTTCATCTAACTGTATTTAAATAAGCAGATTGTTTGATTATAAGTGGAAGTCAATCTTAAATGCTCTGTTTTTACAAAAAAAAATTTCTTTAAAATGGTATGTAATTCATAGTATGTTTTGAGTTAATAATCTCAATAAGCAACTATGATTACAACTGTTTGTGTTAATATCATAAAATATGAATGACATATAAATTTATATAAAAGCAATTCTAATGAAAAGTATGTACTCTAATATAGTATACTCTCGATATCTCGAAAACCTTGTTATGTCAAAAAAATATTTTTCTCCTTGGCATTACATAACCACCTAATGTTAGTTTGAATTCCTATGTCGAAGAGTTTCTTCTCAAGACCTTATTATGTCAAATATTTTTTGTTATAGAACATGAATTTTTTTTTCTTCAGAAAAGCTTATTGTAAACCAATTCTTTTCTATTTCGTGCACAACTATTTTTATTTTACTTTTAAAAATCATCATTGCTATATTTAAGTCAACTATTATTGCATACAGAATTATTAGTTATTCTTACGTTTCATGATTAGTCTATTTTAGAATATATTTTTCTACTTTTTAGAAAATATTTAGCTTTGTACTTGCTATTTCGAAATTTTTTAGCGATCCTTCAACTTTGAAATAACTAAAGTACACTGTGTTTATTTCCTTCCAAGAAAATATGTAATTAATTTAGAGATTGTTTTGACTTACCTTTAACAGTCATCTCTACTTCCCACATTATAAAAAGTGCATGAGTAAAATGTGTCAAAGAGGCATAAATAAAATCCCCTCTTTTACTATATAATTGCTAAAAAGATTTGATTAATCCTTAAACTGAATGATCACATGACACCTGTTTTGAGCAGGAAATCTCCCTTTGTATGTAATGTAATGTAAGTCCCCTTGTATTGTATTCTCATCACCTTGACTGAAAAACAAAAATTTCATTCTAGCTGATGAAACATTTCTTAAAAAAAGAAATTGTTTTTTCATTTTCCTCCTCTTTTATATGCAATTATGGGAAGATTGACAATCAGGAAAACTTGTGTAAATTCAACATTTGTTTCATATAAAATAATCTGGTTCTAATAGCTTTTATTCCTATATGCGGGTTATTTGATTATACAATATGCAATTAACTGGGGAGGACTGTACTGATTTATTGCAGAATGTACGATAATCTAGTTATGCTTTACTTCATTAACGTAAGAAAATTGCTACCTTAGTAATAAATACGAATTTTCTTCTTTAACTGCTGTATTGGCTTATAGTGTTTGTTTTCAATTAGGGTAGATGCATAGCTGTTCATGACTCTAGCATTGAGAGATCGCAGGATACTGAAAGTACTTACAAGCAGTCTAGGTGGAAGCCTCTCCTCAGAGATATTCTTATAGTATGTACTTTCTTATAATTATCATAATTTTGACTTTGCTTCCGTTAATGACCAAAAAATAATTAATTTAATAAAAAGATGCCACTAAAATAGAGAGTTTTATTTATTTATGGTATAAAACATTCTGGTTAACTATTTTGTAACGTCAATTAAAAATTTTAAAAGGGTTAAAAATTTCACCAAATTCACACAGGCTATAGATTTTCTGTAATTTTTGCTGATTTCATTCTTATGAGATAAGTCCAATTTTATTCACCTATTTTTTATTTACACATTTGTAACACTGACTTTTCATACAATTAATTGTATTTCTGTTTTTTTGTTTGGAATATCACTTAAAAATTTCCTTTACTTTGTAACATCACCACGGAGAGTATTACAAAAAATTACATCAGTTACTACAGAAATTCATTTCTAATAAGAGTTAAAATTTGTAAGAAAAATCTGAGTAGTAAAATAAAAAGTTTAAAAAGTGTAAAATGGTGAAACAATTTTTTAAGTAGTATAAAATGGGAAAAATAATTTTATATTTGTCAGACCAAAAATAAAAGACATATCGCTTTGGTAATTAACTCTATCACCACTAAATATTCCATAGTGTTGCAGCTTATGTTTTTCTTTGTAAGTCTGAGATATCTAAAATTATTTGCAATTTTTAACCTTTTAACTGTCAAGTTATTTTGATGATTTGGATACATAAATTGTCAATATTTTTAGAGCAAAAATTAAATGTTTAGTACAAAATAAAATATACTGAGTAGTTAAAAATTTATATTTTGGATTACATTAATAAAAATTTTTAGGTTCCCATATTCACTTGAGGCAGCTACCACTCAGTGTGGCAGTCGTGAAGTTTGCTTCTAGTAGAGCATTATTTCCTAAAAGTTAAAAAAAAAAAAAATTAAATTATTTTCTAAAGAAATAAATTACCCTTATATACCGTTTCAAAGGACTGAACATCATTTTGCAGCAAAAATGTCGTGTACTTTGAACATAAACATCTATCCTTTGAAACCTTCAGTGAAATGCTGCCATTTATTGTTCTAAATTGCATTAATTAAATTTTTTCCCGAAATAGATTTGGGTTTGACAAGGAGATGAAGCCGAAAAAAACTTCTCCCGACATATATTCAGGTATAACAATACGATGCTCTGAAATGAAATAAAAAATTACCCTGAGTAATACTCGAGTGTTACATTTTAAAACACCAGTGCTGTGCCAAAATTATTTGGGGCAAGACTGTTAGAAGGTTAATCAACTATATATTTTTTATTTAATTTTATGCATTTTTCTTCATTTTTATGTATATTATTATTAAAAAAAAGTTTTGACTAATTTTTGTAAGTTAAATTAATATAGTACTTAAACTATAATTAAACAAGGTATTTTTTAAACTTTCAGAACTGTGTGCAAAAGAAGTTAGATGAAGATCAATTTCCTTTTTTGAATAAATATCAAGAAAGTGAAGGACTTATCCCTCCAGTTCAAAGGTTTGGGAAAAAAACTTCTTATTGAATTCATATAAAATGACTTAGTTATGATTGGTGAATAATAATAAGATTTCCCGCTTTTACCTTAGCTCCTTTGCGTAAGATTGAAGCAATTGTGCATTCTTGCGTTTATTTTAGATGCTACGCATCTTTATGTTATGTTGGTGTAATTTATGCTACAAAGACAAGGCTACAAGGACGCTGTTTTTAGTAGTTAAATATTGTTTCCTATCTAAGCTTACCTTCAAATTAAAAACATGGAACGCGAATTTGAAGAAATATATTGATAAAAATTTACAAAGCAACTATGCGATCTCATTCAATAAAAAAATTTTATTATTGGTTTTGGTGTAACATTATGGTTGTCTTAATTGCACTTGTTCCATAAGAAACTAGATATATTTTCACTGTTTCAGAATTATAATTTATATTTATTTTAACTATGCAATTTAGTTAAATAATCAAAAGAAGTTTAATAATATTTTTTTCTTATATTAATAATAATAATTCTTTATTGCTGAATTCATTAAAATCTGTAATCTACCAAATTTCTCTGCTCACAGATCAGCTGTCTTACGTAAAGTAAAGCATCTTGAATCGTATACCACTGCTTTAAAAAGATAGTCTACATCCATTGTTAATGTTTGCTTTGATTTTGAGGCCAAAGTTAAATTGATATTCCACTACTATAGTGTTTTTAACTCACGGATGTTTGTAAAATCTCTTATTTTCACTTACGTAGGGTTGATATTTATTCACGAACGCATACCCATTTCACCTGCACTGACGCATGCTCAATTACTTGAAATTTTACATATAGAAGCTAACAATAATTTGCGAAATTTCCCTTATAATTTAATGCCTGCACCTTCACAACAATAAGTAGTCCACTAGAGACCTGTCGATTAAATGTCAACATCCAATCAGTTGATTAAGTATCAACCGTCAATTGTGTATTAACATCCATAGTTATTTCTTGTAATGCAAAATGTATGACTTATGCTAATAAAAAAGGCTAAAATTAGCCTGTTTAGTATGTATTAAGACTGTGGCAGCTCATTCCCCATTATGTTATTTTATACATACCGAGAAGAAAAATCATAAATAGATTAATTATTTTTTTTTTAATGTTTTTAGATTCTGTTTTAGCTTCTTGTAATTTGCCTGGACTAAATTTAAGTTTCATTAAAAATAATATAAGCATTATTTTATTTTGATTAGAACAAGTTACTGGCATGCAGACAAGAGAGATGAAAATGCTTTCAAACTGATTGTTTTCATTATTGGTGGACCCACATATTCTGAAATACGTTGCACTTATGAAGTAATGAAGAAATACCCTGGATGGGATATATTTATTGGTAACATATTTATTTATTCTCTAAGTTTTTCATTTATTTACTATATAAAATATACAGTATAATAATAGATATTATTTAAAAGCGCCGCATTCTAATTTATACATATAAAGGCATTTAAAACAGTATTTTCTAGCTCATCTTGCTTTTCTCTTTCATTTGCATAACTGTAGTTTCAGAAAATGTTGTAGTCTGATTAAAGCAAAAGAATTAAAAATGCCAAGCTGACACCCCATAGGAATTTGTTTAAAAGGGTCTCACATAAAAATCTTTCAAATCACTTTTTACACCGACTCGAATGAGCCATATCCAGAATTAATATGATTTGTTTAGAAGCTGCATTTATACAGTATATTTATCTTTAATTACACAATTTAAAAAAAAGTCTTTTTTTTAAAAAAAAAAAAAAACTTTTAACTTCTGAAGTTTTCTGATTAGTTCTTTTAACTCGTGCTCCGTCTCATTGGTTTCTGCACATTAAAAATACATGAGAAACGATGCTTCACCTGTCTAGATAGCAATGTCAGATGCAAAGATGGATACAAATCTAACATTGTATTTTTTGTGCAGAAAATTCTTATAACTTCTGAACTCATAGTCCTATTATCCTGTATGTTTGACCTGATTCATTTCGGAATTAAAAGCTAGATCAAAACTATACCATATTTGTGTAGATTGCAACAAAATAGCAATGTAAGGTATCTAAATAAGTACAATGTAAAAATACTATTGGCTCAAAAAAATCATTTTACCTTTAGAACTGTTAGTTCTACTGACTTGTGTTAGGTTTCATTTCAGAGTCGAGACCAAAGCTGCTAAACATTTATTTCGGAAAAAAGAAGCCATCTTTCCCCTCACTTTAAAAAACCTAAGAAAAAAATTGCCCATTTTTCTTGAGTTTTCGATTATTTCCAGCATTTTTCAAGGCATTTTGTCCTCTTGCATTCTGATAAGATGTTTTGAGAATTTTGATTGATTAGCACAATAGCTAACTCATTATAAGAACATATCGTTTTAAAATATGTACTTACTTTATTTTAGTCTTGTGTAGTGATTGAGGCACAGGGTGTGAGAATATATCACTTATTGTAAGCTTTTACTGAAATATTTTATAGCGTTAATTTCAATAAGTAGATTAAAAAGAAGAAAATTTTTTTTATCAATCCTTAAACATAGGTGAACAATGATAGGTGAAACAGTGATGAGTTTTTCCACTTATCTCAATAAAAAAATCTGCCTTTTTCAAAAACATTATTTTTTTTTTCCTCAGAAAAATTATTTGTTTTTACGCTTTTTCCTACCTATGCAAACGTGATTTAAAATTGCACTCCACGAATTTAAATCTCACATAACGATTCATGTTGACTTGATTTAAAATCACATATTGTGTTTCATATTTCCACGATTTTATATTAAATATCTATATTCATATTCGAGCAATTGAAAAGCCTCTCTTATGATTCGCGTTCAAGTGACTTAAAAATCAAACATTGAGATTCGTATTCACATGATTTCAAAATAAAACATCACTCATATTAAGGCAATTTTAAAATTAAACATCAAGATGTGTATTCTCGTGATTTAAAAATCACATATTCAGATTCACACACTTTAAAAAAAAACTCTCATCAATATTTTTTTTAAAAGGAGGATAATATTCGGTAAATAAATGCTTTCTACATAGAATTTTTTCTTGCTCAAATTTCGGGCATTTTTTGCACATAACATTTTTAGTTTTCTATTTTTGTTTTTTTTACTAAACTCATCCACATGGTGTGTATCAACATAGAGTTTTTAAAAATAAAATTTTTAAAAACAAATTCCGCTATTTTCAAACTAATTTCGCCAAAATAAGGTGGTGACAAAAATGTAACCAGTTATAGTTTGTCTACTGTAAGAACTCCCCTCGCCATAAAGTCTGAGGCCTGTTGCTATGGAAACAAGAATAGTGCATTTCAGGGAGGGTAGCTTCTCTCCATTCTAGAGCTAACAGCTTCTCAAAGAAATAGATTCCCTTTTTCTCGCCGACCAGACCGAGCCAAAACCTGTCCTAAATATTGGATCTACCACCCCTTACTTGAAATAGTTATACCTCGTTACCATAGTCAACGCCATGGGTCCAGACGAATAACTGGGGGAGTTCTTACTTTAGACAAACTATACAAGAGCTAATCGATTGCTTGCAGAAAGTTTTTTATTTGATCTAAGTCTGATAGAGGGTATCCAGTGTAAAACAGATTTCAAAATCTCTGAGATAAAGGATGACAGAGGAATGAAACCAACTGTATGTCTTAATTTTCCCAAAAAACTGTTGTATTTGATGTAACTGTTTCCGAAAGATGGCACTGTGCTCTGTACAGTATTGTTGAAATGCCGCTGCACTGTAATCTAACCGGCGATATCCCAGTACTGGAAACACAATTTTTTTAACGAAAAGAGTACATGGTTTAAACAAACCTTATGCTATACAACATGTTTTAACACTAGAAGCGATCGTTGATAGCTTGTAGTGCCATCTGTTGGCAATTTTTTAACTTAATTCTAAAATTTATGTATCAAATTTTTACAGCTCTTAAAATAAAACATAGTTTGTTTCATTCCTTCATCCTCTTATGTTTCTAAAAAAAAATTTTATTTCAAAATCAGTCTATCTTTTGTTGGATATCCTGTATTTATATCAACATGTTTCTGATTAAACAGGAGGAGATATTCTTCTTACGCCTAACAAATTCTTAGACAAATTATCTGTTCTGCCACCTCTCATATGAAATTTTGAAGAGAAGAAAAAAATAACAAATGTTGACTTGTTGTCTACTCAAATAAAAGTTTACTTTTATTTACTTTTTGTACTTTCTTATTTTAACACTTGTACAATACTATAACAATATAAAATATCTATAGTAAGAAAACAAATTTCTAAAAAAGTTTAATCTCCACCAGCAATTAGGACTGGGTGATAAATCGATGTATCGCGAAATATCGATTTAACACATATATCGGCAGGCTGATATAGTGACTTTTGTTTCAGGCGATGCATCAGAAATCGATTTAAGCCGCCAATATAAGACGACTCTCGCGATTTAACATGTGAGGACCCTTGCCTATTCTAACTCTGTCACCTCGCTGATGAACATGATTTTGGTTTCATCTAGCTGCGTAGACTATGTTCATTTCGTGATGCTGAATGCAGAAGAGTGAATTGAATTGGGAGTCATGGTTTTGTGAGAGGATCAGCATTGAAATATAGAATTTAAAGCATAGTTTATTTATGCACCTTTTTTTCTCTGGGATTTTACGTTTCTTGAAGATTATTTTCAGCCAGATTTCTGCTACATTATTTTGTCTTTTTTTTTTTCTATCTCTCGGGATTGAATGTTTCTTGCTAATTATTTTCAGTTTACCTATTGTTAATTTGAGAGTCGCTTTTATCTTAATATTTTGTTCCGAATTCTATCTATAAATGAAAAGAAATGATGAATTTTAAAAAAAAAAAATTCTTTTTTTTTTTCATTTTAAGCAAGAAAATTGAGTAGAGGTAATTTGTTTAAGTAATTTCTACTTTGTTATATATATATATATTTTTTTTAAATTTATTCAATAAACGTAAATATAATAATTTGATTATTTTTAAACCAATAAATCTTTAGTCGTTTTTAATTATAAAAAAATTTAAACAAAGCCTACATTTATTTGTATTTATTTTTGAGAAAATTAAAACAAAGTTTTTTTTTTTAAAAAAATTTGCCTATTAGTTAAAACGGCTAAATTTTTTTAATTCAAAAAAAGTTAAGCAATGTTTTGACGCTTCTTAATTTAACAATAGTGCTATTAAATTATTATTTTTAATTTTTCTTAAAACTCTTTCAAAGTGCATTACTTTTAATAATTTGTTAGGTAGTCAGTATTATTTTTAAAACCAATAAATCTTTAGATTTTATGTCTAAATAAACATATGAAACAAAAATTAGATTTATTTTTACTAAGTATATAATTTGACCATTAGTCAATGTAACTTTATTATTTTAAATAAATAAATAAAAGGTCTAACAATGTTTCAAAAGCACGTTTTTCTCAAAAATTTTAAACCTAAGTGAACATTTCTTTTTTTTAAATACAAGAAAGTGAAATACTTTGTTAGTTTTATTGTAAATCTTAAGTAGTTTTTAATTTGAAATAAAATGAAACAAAGCTTGTGTTTGTTTTTACTTTCAAGACATCCCGGTCTTATAAGTCAATCCATTTTTATTATTTTAATTGAAAAAATTAAGCAATGCTATTGATGTTATAGAAGCGTTTATTTTAGTATTAACATTTCTTTTGTTATAGATTTATTCCTTTTTATTTATTTTTCATAAATTTAAAGATATTATATTGATAATTTTCAAACATATGTTTGTGATAGACGATATAAAATTTCTTACATCGCCCAGTCTTACCAGTGATGGCGGGCGATTGAATGGGACTCGAAAAGAAGCTCATATCCAAGTCTCTAAAAATTATAGGCAATGTTAACTGTTTGTTTTCTTTGATTGTGATGGTGTTGTTGATTATGAATTTTGACTGGCCTAACAGTTAATAAGGATTATTATTTGAGTGTTTTGTGACATTTAATTGAAGTAATTCATCTTAATTAAACGACTTGAAATTTGATAAGAGAACTCCTGGGTTTGACATCATGATAAAGCATCTTCTCATACTGTAGTTATTATTTGTTCATTTTTGGAAAATTATTAAGCACTAAATGCTTCTGATAAGGCAGATTTCCTTCAGCTGTGGTCCATTAATTCAATAAAAGAAAATGTGCTACTAACTCCGAATAGCATTTTTACAAAAACTATTTGGAAAAATTATTTGCAGAGTATTTTGAAAAAGATGAAGTAAAATTTAATTACTAAATAAAAATAGTTAGATTTTAAGTACTTTTTGATCATTGTAGTACACTAGATTGTGACTATGAAAAAATATGGTGGCATGCTTATAGTTAATTATCATTGATTGGTATGTACAAGATTTGATCATAATCCTAATTTATAAGGGTGTTAGTCTTTTTTTAGCGCTTTATACATTTAGGAAAAGTCAAAAAATATCTACCTTAGATATAAAATTATTTAAGTTAAATATATTAAGGGACAGCAGCCAAAAGTTTCAGAAAATAGGGAGATTTTTTTTTAAAAAATCGGTGTGTTGAAAAATAAATAAAAAATTAACTTTTAAAGTAATATAATAAATTTTCATGAATATTAATTTAAATCAAAAAAAAAAAATTTATTTCCCCTTATAGCCAATATATATTTTAAAAACTAATTAAAAATAAAATTGCTGAAAAAAAAAATTCTTTAAGTAAGACAGATATTTTACTTTCGTTGAGGCTTTAACAATATAATTATGATGCATAAGTAATTTGTATAAATAATATATTTATATAAAATTGAGCTAAGAAAATTTATCAAAAATTTATTTTTGCCAAATTTGCATTATATAAATAAAATATTCTTATAATAAAAACTATTATTTTATAAAATTTTAAAATACATTCATTTCATATATAATTTTTTTAGAGTTATTTTGGCAAGGAAATTTTTCTTTATGTAAAAAAAAAATTTGATTCAATTAATGTTCTATCATTTATTGAATTATACAATTATTATTAACCCTGTGAGAAATTTGTAGGGGGAGAAAACGCATGAATTATTTCACTTTTTGCATTTCATATATTATCAAAATATTTAAAAAATTATGAAATCCATAGTAGTAACTATCGAGAAAAATATCGACGGCGAAGTTACGCGAATCTGACTCTTCAAAAACTGGTTACTAAATGTGTGTTTTGTCTCGAGATTCGGTTGTTGCAATAAATAATATTGTATTAAAAATATTAGAATTCAAAAACTGTGTGAAAATCAATAGCAATAATTGCAACAGCAAAAAAATATCAATAGAATCATGACGATTAAAATTGAATATACAAATGCGCGATTCGAATTTCCCATATTTTCAGAAATATACTGGGATATTTTTAAAAAAATAACAATTATTGCCGAAAACACTATATGGATTTATGATACTATCGGCATAAATTCAACGCATCAAAAAGTGATTATATAAATGCGCGATTCAAATTTCTCGTGTAGAAATAATATGAACTGATAAATAACTGGAATTTTAAAAAACCCGTGGAAATCAGCACCAGCAATAAAAAATTCGAAAAACTCTTAACATTCTGTGACAATATCGGCGCAATTTTGGTACACGATTATTAATACTATCTAGAGTTTAACTTGGGTTTCAACATTTTACTAATATATTAATTGAAATCACAATCTTATTCCTCTACATGCTGTTTGATTTTATTTCTCAATCCAGTTTAACATGAATTGGCAAGCAGACACAGAAGCTGAGGCAATAAGAAGAATTCATGTTCTGCCCCCCTCCTCACATCCCATTCAAAACAAATGCATTGAAAAAACGGTGCAGTTACAATTCTTGACTCATTATTATGTTTCCTTGGCTGTCACCAGGGCCAGACTTAGCTTAATTGGGGCAAAAACAACTTTGCCCCTCCCCTGCTTCACAACTTCAGTAATGAAGGTATTTAAATTTTTCACCTCATTATACATATATAACAAGAAAATTGACTAGACCATAAAATGGTGATTAAGTCCCTCCAATTGTCAGACGAAATATCGTTCTACCCATTTTATTGATTTTCTGACGATTCTGTGTCCATCAGGCCGAATTCAATTTTCTGATTGCTAACTTTGTCGTCTTGTTGTAAAATCATATCCTTGATGACATTAGGGTGGAATTCAGCTAAATTTTCGCAATAATGATGGCTTACTTAAGCCAATCAGAAGCCTGTATTCTTGTAAACATATCGTATTTTCCGATATGTAAAAATACAGGTTTTGATGGGCCAAATTTGTCCATCGTAATTGCGAAAATTTAGCTCTAAAAAGCGATGGATTTACGAAATATAGATTTTTTGTGTTCATTCGATCATTTAATGAACATGCTAACATAAAACTGATGGATTTTACACTGTACTGAAATTTTGTTTAGGAAGAAGGAAACCTAAAACAAACTTTCTATTCGATTTGGGGCCCCCCTCTGATGTGGGGTGGGAGCAACTGCCCGTATGCCCCTGACTTTGTCAGGCTCTGGCTGTCACTATGTTCAAAGAGGGAATATCAAAAATGACGGATGATTTTTTAAAAAAAAAGTAGGAAATAACTGGGGGAAAAAAAGGAGAGGTGCTGAAATAGGTCAGTGGTTCCTGTATATATTAGTGTCTTAATTTTATTTTGTCAAAATATAAATATTTTTAATAGACATTTTACAAGAAAGACTCAGAAAATAATTAACTTTTAATCATTCTTGCACAAAAACAAACCATTACAGACGACAATCGATGTATAACATTTTTAATTGCAAATCTGTAACATTTACAATCATAACTAGTACTGTACACGTTCAAGCAATATACATTTTTATAAGAATTTATTCAAAAAAAATTAAATCCTGAGAAAAAAAAATCTATAATTTATCATGTGACTTAATTACATAAGGATTTCTCAAAAGTACAAAATGGTGGGAATGTTTTAAGTTTTGAGAAGCATTTCAAAAGCATTTTGTATAACTGGTCACTTCATATCCATCACTGGTACCAGCTAGTGATTTATCTTTTTTTATTAGTCCAGGTATAAATATTATAATAACTTTGCTTATGACTATAATTATGCACAGCATTCATGCAATCGCCTTGGCTTCTGGTACAAAGTTTTCCCAATGTTTAATAAGCTGAAAGAGTAAAATAAAATTTATATAATAATGGCAAAAATATATATTTTCAATCTGCATGAATATATTCTTAAAATGAAATAAATCTTTTACATAGAAGTAAAATTAAATAAGATAAATCTTAGATATGGATAAAATATCAAGATGAAGTTGAATTTACCTCTTTAAATAATAATACAGTTAACATCTTTTGTAACACAACGTTGAAATGAGAGACTTTGCGTTATTTAGAATTTTTTGTTATATAGGACATTTCACATATCAATATTAAAGAACTTTAATTTTTAAATAAAAATACTTTAAACCACAAAAATATCCACTTAAGTATTTATAGTTGAAGTAATCAATATTATAATAAAATTAAAATATCAATTTATGTTTGCTTTAAAAATTTGTTAAGTTAATGTGGTTTATTGAATCAGATTACAAAGATCTTCTGTATTTTGTTCCTAGATCATACTATATGATTTTTCTGTAAAATTGCACCAATATTTTAATAGCAAACTTTTTTATGCCGTTACATTTTAATCCTATATTGATATTCATAAACTTAGCTTTTTTCCAGATTAAAAAATCTTAAGAATTACTAAAAATTACAAGTGAAAAAGATTGATGATTTAACGGAAAATAGTGTACTTTCAAGCAATTAAATGAAAATATGTGATTTTTCTACAACAGCTATTTTAAAAATAGTCAGGATGCAAGCACATTGTCCCTACCTATTGAATAAAATTACTGCTTCAGAAATGTTGTTAATTACAAAATAGTTGGCCAAACTTATATCAGGGTCTGCACTAATTTTCAATGATAGTTAGGAAGCTGCAGCAGCAAAAGAAATTCTCCCATTTTTGAAATCTTAAATCCTTCTAACTGAATGAGAAAAGTGTAGAGAAACAACTAAAAATAAAATATTTACCTGCTGTTGAGTTTCTAATAATGATTCCATGTATTTCACTATGCTCACTTTGAAGTCATGAACTCTACTCTTTTCAAATCTTTCGACTTCCTTACGAATCATTTTGGAGATATTCTCAAATTCCTCCTGACCTCTCTCAGCTTTAGCTTCCCACTGAAATTACAAAGCATCATTACAGTTATATTGAACACAGGTAGTTTTTTTTAAAAAACAAACAAAAAGAGGTCGAGATAATTACTTCAATGACTTCTTCTTTTGCCTGAGGAACTTTGTCACTTTTTCCAGCCAGTTCAAGTTTAGCTTTCTGTTCTCTTTTTTTAGTTAATATTTGTTGAGCATGTTGCCAGGTTTGATAAACTTTAACTCGCTGATGGAAAACATCCTAACCATAACACAAAACACACAATTACATTTAGAAAAGATAACATTTCGTTAAAGAACGAAAATGTGAAGACATTTAAATAGTGATCCATTATATTTAATGCTACACTTAATTTTTCTCGTAAGTCACTTCTATCATACTTAAATCAGGCTGCATGTCAGACAATTTAAACTCAGACTATTTTCTAGGGTCAGACTGATGAAAACTTACAAGTCAGCCTTCTTATCTCATAAAAGGAAGAATGGGTGGTTAACTAAATATAAACAATAACAAGATGCCGACCAGTCTGTGTAGGGGGCAGGGAACTGTCCTTGCATCAGAAAGGTTCTGGGTTCGAATCCCGGGCAAGGCATGGATGTTTCTTTCCCTCTATCTGTGTTCTATGTCCTTTCTCCTTTGTGTGTGAATGTGACCCGCCCTATAAACGGGTTGTGGTAGTGTGACGTGGGCGATGCTGTTCCACCGCCGTGGCTTCGCCACAGGTGCCCACTGAGTAACGAAAAGAGAATTAGCAGTTCTGGCACTTTCTGTGGCCAATGGACAATAGCTCCAAGTGCCCGCCATTAAAAAAAAAAAAAAAAAAAAAAAAAAAAAAAAAAAAACAATAACAAGATTCCTCAAACTGGAAGAAAAATGGAAAAGTGTATTCTCCCATTTATGTTATGCTTTATGAAGGGATGTGTAAACAGGCTTGATATTCAAGGAAGTTTTATTATTGTGATTAAATTTACACGTAATTCATAAGAGTTTTCTGTCATTTACAAATTCTAACAGGTCATGAGCCTAAAACAAGTTTAATAAAATAAATATCACAGCCATAAATAAAGTGAAAGGTTTGCCATGTTTTGAATATCATTGATTATATTAGTGACACACAGTATTGCTGTTTGTTATTTTTTGGGTTGCATCATATCATGTATTCCGAATTCATTTGTTGTTCGTTCTGTTGAATTGAAAGAATGTGTTATATTGTAAACAGTAATAGTATAATTATATTGGATGGCGCATATTTTCAAGTTCAGGCATAAAAATAATTTTTATTTTACATTGGTCTACTCTGTGATATAACAAAACAATATCAGTGCCGGAAATGCAAATACTCCTGGTCTTAGCATTACTTATAACTAGAGCCCGGATTTTGATGACTTAAAAAATCTCAATTAATGCCCTTAAAAAGTGCAAAAAATGCCCTTATGAACTGCAAAAAATGCCCTTAAAAGTGCAAAAAATGCCCTTAAAATGCGAAAATTGCGCTAAAAATGCCTTATGACATGACTTAAATAGAAGTAAAAATATTGAACTAAAACAATGTTTTACTCTTTAAAATTATTATGAGTCGTTTCAAAAAATATAAAGCAATGCAATACTTGTTCTACGTTCATTAAAGTTTGACAAATATGTTTTATATCCAAAAATAACAAAAAAAAAGAAAATATATTGACTCCAAAACATTTTCATTTTGTATAGAAACTTAAATGAATATAACAACTTCCATCTCATAATATTACTAAATATCAGAATTACAGTGGATTATTAAATTTTTTTTTAATATTTTGAAATGTAAACGAGCGTCTCTTGTCTGAAAGCAAATTTTTATACCAGGAGAAGCTTCTTTCAACGTCTACTGATGTTATTGGTGCGTACTTGAAAAGGACGGTCACACTTACTGACAATTCTTCTTCAATTTGAAAAGATGTTGCTTCACCTGTTAATATCCTAGAGATTTTCTTCATTGTTTGGAAGCCAGTGTAATAATAAAAATTAGAAAAAATTTAAAAAATGCTTTAAAATGCAAAATACGCCCCAAAATTTAAAGAAAATGCCCTATAAATCTCAAAAAATGCTCTAAAGGACAAAAAATGTCTAAAAATGCAAATGTCATCAAAATCCGGGCCTTACTTATAACCAATATCTACAAAGTGTCTATTTGTATTAAATTCATTTTTTCTTTCCATGCCGTAAGCATTTTTGAAATAGGAACATTAACCACACTAAGTGGCATTGTAGGGATTTCGCAAAGTTACACATAGCTACTTTATTGTACTTATATACCACTCTATAACTAAAGTGATATGAAGGTTAAAAGAAATGACATTAATGGACATCATGTATTTAATAATTATTTATTTAGAATTATTTTAGAAACAAAAGAAATGAATGTTAAGGGTCTTACATAAATACATTACAAGTATTTTCAAGCTGAATACTCAGAAATAATGACTGATAAATTTTTGGCTTTTTATCCAGTCAGTTAATTTTAATTGAGTATATAAACGCTAAAAAAGCAAGTCAGCAATGCAATTTATATTTGGAGCAAATAATGACGGCTAAGATATAAGTAATAATTTAACAAGAGTTATTCATTTATTTATTAAGTTTTGCTGTATGCCTGCTGAACATTTCAGTTTTGATATTATAAGAACTTTATTTGTTTCAAAAATTATAAAGCTAGAAAAAGTCAACATGTTTTAAGCAATGAAAAAATAGGCGTTCATTCTCAAGACTCAGCAGACAGGAACGACTCATTCACATCCTGCAAGTCTTGAGAATGAGTGCCTATTTTTAAGGGGTCGAAACATGTCAACTTTTCCTAACTTTTTAAAGCAAATGAAGTTCTTATATTATCAAGTATATCTCTCTGCTTCAGTTTCTTGTTTTAGAGTTCTTGCACAAGCATTTTGAATATCAAAACTCTTGTTGTAAACAATAGATATAATTCTGCTCCTGAAGACAATAATTAGCAAAAACTGCACTAGAAAAAAAGTTCATAAAATATATACTTAATACTTTAGTTTTTGCTGCATAATGTATGCTAAAATAATAATTACCTTAACAGCACCAATAAGAGAAATATAATCTTTCAGCAATTCAGCCAATAAGAAAAAGTCCTGACCAGCTTGCTGACTATGGAGACTCTCAATCCTCTCCTCCACCTCAGACAGTTGGGACAGAGCACGGGACAGGGCAGTGTGCTCTTCAATATTACCCAACATCGCAGCACTTTTTGCAAAGGCTCCAGTATTTGCAGCTAATTCTAAAAAAAAAAAATTATCTTCTCAATAAATGAAAAATTATATACATACTATACAAAGATGTCTATAAAAAATAGTCGAATGGGTGTTTAAAATTTTTTAGCTGGTGCCCAATATTTTAACAAAATTAGCTAGTGCTCAATATTTTAACAGAACTATTTTTTTATACCAGAAAATCTGAATATTTGACAATTAAAATTAATGTTATACCACATACAAAAATAGAAAAACCATAGTAAAATATTATGTTCAATATTAGTATACACTTAATTTTTATAAAAACAAATGGATAAGTTTTTAAAATTTTACATGTTTCTAAATATAGCTAGAGTTGAATAAAAGAATGCATTTCAGTTCTTTATTAATATGACACCACTGGAATGAAATGATACATTAGTTGTTTCTTAAACACATGGAGCAAATTTTAAACATCTCATGATCGAATTTTATTGAAGTATTTATGCTCCTGCACATAAGTGTAATTATTAAGAAAAACAATTGCCTTAACTAAACTAATAGACACGCATAAATTGTGTTACTAGTGCAATAACTAATAAAAAAATTAAGTACTATAAAACTTTATTCTTAAAAATAAGAAAAACTGTCAAATCGAAATCTTAAATAATTGCCCAAATTTTACTCGAAGTTAAACCGGAACATATTTAATTAGAAAGGCTGGAAGATAAATGGAATCATTAGCAAGGCTTTCATAGTATTACAGTTTTAACAATGAATTAAAAGACCACTTCAAAAACTATTCATTAAATTTTTGTAACATAACATATTGACTACCTAAATTACTTATTTTCCTATATTTAAGCATAATAGTTTTTAATATTTTTTTTTCTCTTTCTTTCTAAAAATAAAAAAAAAAAATCTGATGAAAAACTTACACACTGAATTTTTTTCTAAGCAATACAGATAACATAACATTGAAAATAAGCTTTATAATTATAATGTTCTTTAAATTTATTTAGATTTTAAAAAGTAAAAAAAAGAAATAGCAAACCTTTTCTATGTAGCACCAATGATTCAACACTAGCGTGTAATTTTCTCAACTGCTGATCTAAATTTTCTATCTGATGCTGCTTCTCTTCAAACCACTGTTTAAAAAAATTAACAATTATACTGACAAATTTAATCAGCAAAATGAAAAACTTATCACCTTCAAAAACTTTTAAACTAATGACTGAATTGTAACAACACTTTGAGACAAAATCTTAATAGTTTAAGGATAATACTTCAACTATGCTATTTAATCTGTGTATTTGATAATCTATCTTTATTACCTACACTAAACAGATTGCCGTTACACAGAGAGGAAGATCAGGAGAGCCTTCCACGGTTAGCCTGATGGCAAGAGGACTCTAACCCATGATTTGTCTACCACAGAGAACATTTTTAGCATTGTGGTTGATGCAAACTGGGTGCAGAATTCGAATTAACTAGCCATTACCGGGATTCGAACCCGTGTCACCTTATTTGGAGGTTAGCACTATCCCCACATGGCCACCACGACTCCGATAATCTAACAAACCCTACTTTTTCTCAGAAAGCATGTTTGTTTTTTTAACTGGTTTAAATTTTTTACCAATTTATAATAAGAGGTTATCTTCGGAACAAATTAATTCTATTTAAGGTGCTCTCTTTAATCTAGGGGTTGCACAACCTGCAACACACAAGACCTGACACACTCAATTTGTACAGATTCTGCAATAAATCTATGTTTTTTTTCAATTGCTTTTTCAGCATTATTGCTATGGTATTACCCAAGGTTTTAAAAAAAAACAATATTTTAAATATGAGATTACGATACGCAAATTTCCAATCTCAGCAATCACTTCAAGTTTACTGATTTCATCATAAATTTAAGTGATCCTTTTTTTAGTAGTTATAACAACCAATTGTAATTTTTGCTTAAACCTTAAAAATTTTCTAAGAATTAAAATATTTAATTTGAATTAATATTACTATTAATGTATGTGCTTATTTTTTGCACTTACATGCTGTGAGAATTGCAGTTTTTTTTTTTTTTTTCAAATTAATGAGATAAAAAAAAATCCATTTTCCCCCTAATGTTTATATTTTTTTGATAATTTATATTTTGTGAAAAAGGGAATTTTTTCTTATAAAAAATATCAGTTTTGAATGAAATTTAACAATTAAAAGTAAAATTTCTGCAAATATATAACTAAATTAACTTCAACAAAGTCTGAACATGATGGCAACCCTTTATTAGTCAACCTGTTGTGTAAGTGGCCCCTCATTAACTCCTACCTTAAACCATTAAGATAAGTTTTTCAAAGCTATTGTAATAATTTAAGTACTTTTCAAACTTAATTTGCCTAATTAAATTTTGGAAAAACTTTGAAAGCACTTAAAACTTTAAAATTAGACAACTAATACAACATAAATTTTAAGAAATTAAGTGTAACAGTAATACCAAGTACTAATTAGTTACTTAATAAATAAAAGAGAATGCATAAGTTAAGAACAGGGGAAATCTTTGAGCTCTTATTCCACGATCTTCGATATCTGATCATTAGATCAAAAGTTGTTAAAAGTAATTTCAACTTCATATTGTCTACACTACATGGTAAGAAATGATTAAATTCATGCTGATAATGATAAGCCTACCTGTATAGCATACTGAGGGTTTGTAATTAAAACCTATCCTCAAGATGGAGAAGAATGCATGAAAGAAACAAGTGACAAACAATTAAAAATATTAAAATATTCATTATTAAAGAAAGAAATATCAGTAAAAGGAAATTTTTTACTGACATTCAAATTTACTTCTTAAATCTATTCTCATCTCATAATCTAATACATACAAAGTGTGTACAAAATTATCTAACTACTATTAATGAAATCAATATTTATTAAAATACATTTACATTACTCTAATTTCCTTCAAAGCAGCTTAGTTATGCTAATGCAAACTTTTTGCTACAGTAGCAAAAAATTGCAGAAATCCTCTAATGGTATGGCATGAAAAAAGGGAGTTACAGTTAAACAGCTTTAAAATGATTACCAGATTACTTTTTCTGTGTAATGCCTACAGACGCCAATCTAGGAGTCCTTGCATCCCATAATGTTTAGAGTGGCAGTAAAATACCAGTTAAAATAATCTAAATGTTAAATTTTGTCAATCCAATTCACACGCCATATATATTAGTTTAAATTGATTAGACAATGATGGTTAAACTCATTGTAAATCAAATTTATTAAATTTAAATTGTAAAACTGTTACCACCTTAACTAGTAGGAAAGAAATTCCTGTTTCAATGGGAGAAGTCAGCATGTATGTAAGGTATGGCACCAAGGACCTATCACTGAACTTAATACACTCAACTTACCAATTGACATTCATCTCCCAAATTCTCATCCTACCAATTTTAAAGTGAAAATCAAGAAGAAATACTCTAAATTCAGTGGCATGACAGCCAAAAGATGGCCAAGGCCTATTGTGCCCATCTCAATTTTCTTGATCTAGGGCTCTGGGGTGCAGAAGCAGATGATCCAGTTGGGAGGTCAGCCTAACACGAAACGTCCAGTGTTTAATCCCCAAGCATGCTCGATACTCATTTTATCCAACCACTGAAGGGTCGAAAGGCTGATACGAACTTTGCCCAGTCCGAAGATCCAACATAAGACCTGTGGCACGAGAGAGTAAAGCACTACCACTCAGCCACTGGGTGTCAAATAAATACTCTATCATCAGAATAATCATGGCTCGAACTTTGAGTATCTTCGGAACTATTATCTGCACCCATAATATTCCAACACAGCAGAAAATTAACTACATCAAATAATGGTGTATTACGCTGATGATATTGCTGTTATCTAAAATTAAGATGTCCTAACAGAGCTATCCAAACACTTATATTATCTGCACTTATTAATTTTATTTTATAACCGTCGTTGAACAGCCGACCCAATTAAAGACAAAACAGGAATAGACTCAGTAAGGTTGAAAGTAAGGTGAAGACAGGTTAAAAATAAGTAGTCATAAACCCATAAAGGTTTATGACTACTTATTTTCAACTCTGTAGCCTTTAATTTTGAGCCCAATCCAGAAGACAAGGGAACTCCTGGATCAAGTATTGAGAGAAATTTGTCTTTTGGGAGAACATTTTGATGGAACTAATCCGCATTTGCGTTACATAGAGACGAAAACCTCCAGTTAGCTTGACAGCAAGGGGAATCTAACCCCCATGATCCGTCTACCACTGAGGATATTTTACGTCAGCACTGTGGTTAGTGCAAGCCGGATGCAGAATTCGTATCGACCAGCCATCGCCGGGATCGAATCCCAGTTCATCTCATTGGAAAGCGAACGCTGCATCCCCTTAGTCATTGCAGCTCTACACTTATTAATTAGCATATTTGAGGTCCCTCCCTCAAGTCATTAATATTGAGTCTTAGAACGTGAAAATCATTACATTGAAAGTTGTTCAAGGTAGCCCATTTTTTTTTGGCACATTATACATAATGTAAATACCATTAATCCATTCTCATTTTGCTAACTATTCATATGTTTTGAACCGACATCTCTCTGTGCACCAATGTAGTCAGTTTAAGAAACACAAGAGATTGTTGTCTCATAACATATGTAACACGGTGCCTGTTGTGTTGTCCTAAAACAATTAATTCTGTTGATAACTGCCAATTAAGATTTTCCCAAGCTTTAGACCAAATTTTGTCCCAACTTTTTAACAGTGTGGTGATGACTCAGTGCTGTTATGGTCATGAAGAAAAAAATTATGTTTGGACACTCTTTTAATCAATTTCTTAAAAAAAAAACTTTCAAACTCATATAATGTAAAAACATCTTTATTAAAAAATAAAATTTAATAAAAAAACGAGGAAGTAATGTGAAAAAAAGTAGTATTTTCTCTAAAAAAAGATTAATGGAGAAAATCTATTTACACTTAAAAGCAAAATCTAATGTCTACCTACCAAAAGTAATTTTTACAAACACCAAATAATATTAATCACTTCAAACTTAAACATCGACTTAAAAAGAAAGCATTGATATTAAACTACTCTAATCTATAAAAAGTGAATAATAGTGTAATATTTTATTCTGTAGAAAAAGCTTTTATTTGCAAATTACATGAGTTTTTAAATAATTAATAGAATCAATAAACATCAATTCTGCTACTTTAAATATGAGCATGCAGGGAAAATTTCAAACCGATTTTACAAATTTAAAACTGTTCATAGACAAAATTTTGTCAGAAGTAAATTATTATATAGTTCCTATGTTCATTATATTTAACAAACCGGAATTGAATTTTAAATGAAATGATAAAGATATGAATGAGATTTTTTTTAATTAAGAAATTTGAATTAAAACAAAAAATCCTACCGCATTTGATAAATATCAAACAGGTGAAGGGTCCCTTAATTAATATATTTTCTAAATTACTCCCCTAAAAATGAATGTATTTTCATTTTTTAAAATAACTCAGTACTGCAAATTTTAATTACAAATCCAGCTAAATAAGACTATAGAAAAAAGTCTAAAATACTCCGACGATTATACAATGTAATTACATGTACAAAAAAGTAAATTTGATGATCATAACAAGATAAATTAAGACTGAAAATTACACAAATATATATCTCTAGGTACATATAAAATCGTGAAACTTACAGGATCAGATTCATCCATTTTGAAAGTCATCTTATTGACAGAATCCCCAACTCTATTGAACAATCTGAGCACGCCCGCTCCACTCAAGGCAGATGTACTCTTCGCTTTAGGTAGGTCTACATCCATTTCTAGAAATTCTCTGAAGTCTGGATCCATCCTTAGGACAGGGTGCTCTGCTGTACGGTTTAGATAACGCTCGAGAGCTATGCGTCTCTTTTCCACAAACTCTGCAGACGAGACTGTATCGTCTTTTGACATCTTGATTTTGGTCATACCTGAAATAGGGTTAAAAAATCCATTGATATGCGCCATGTTCATGAGCGTACATTTGTACAAGTTGTGTTACATAGTGCCATTGGACTGCCCACCAATTAGCTTTACTTTTGAAATGTAAACAACAGACTTTTGGAAAAATACAATGCCTAGTTCATGTGACAGCTTAACTCCTTATTTAATCATTTTTTATTCATATTTTAAATAAACATGCGAGAAAAATATACTATAACTTCCTATTTTGCACAACAGCCCAGAGTAGGCCAAGGCCTTCTATTAAAGATTCCTTCCTGTAAGGCAACCTACTTTTTGACCTGGATATCCAGTCTCTTACCTTGGCCACTCTAAAATCTGATTTCAATTAAAATTTTAAATTACAATATTCATTTTATTTTGAAAACTAAAGAAACATTCTTACTCTATATTTAACAGTATGCCTAAATAGCAGCAATCAGGTTTATAAAATGCATAGTTAATAAGAATTTTCATTTAAATGAAAAAATTGCAATATAAAATATAGTTAGCAAAACATTTTCTAATTTCCATTCCAAAATGGTTTTTTTTCCCCACTAAATTGTTTGGTTTAAAAATAAATTAAAATTGAATATAAATCTGTTTTTCTTTACCTTTTTTTTATTATTTCTCTTTAATTGATATAAATTTTATGCTCCTCATGTTTTTTAAAAAAAAAAAAAATAAATAAATGCTGCATTGTGAATGTGCTGACAACAATCAGTGCAGAATTGCACATTAATCAAAAATTCGGACACTCCTTACTTTAACGATAAAGGCCACACAGTGAAGAAGTAACATGACGAACATCGAAAGGGTAACACATAAACAAAACGTGATATGTGAACGATTAAAAAAATCAGCAGTTGGAAACAAACATTACGCACAAGTATTAACACTGAACTACTAGTAACACCTCTAGTTAAACTAATTTGCTTAATGACAATTCCAACACACCTCGTTAAAAAGTAAACTATTATAATTACATCTGATTTAAAAAACATGGAAATTTTAAACCATGATGCAAAAAGCCAGTAATTACAATACTGGCTTTTTGCATCCAGCACCAGAAAAAGCCAGTAATTACAATGGATTTATTTACTGTATACCAAGAACTGGTTTTCAGCTGGTATGGAATAAATATTAAAATACATTTTAGAAAACAATTGACAATCTTGACAGAGTTATCACTAGGAATAAAAAACGGTAGGGTGAAGAAAAAGGCCCTCACCACCTTTAAATTCAATCAAAATGTGCAATATTATGAAATAACTTAATTTGATCTTCACTTTTTAAACTATCCTCTACTATTTTATGCGTATACTTCACAAAGTAATTCTCATTCAGTAACAAAATAAGCAAAAAATTTCAACCTTCTGAAAAATAATTAAAGGCAAGCTAAAAAAGAATCTCTGAATGTAAATTTTCTTTTAAAAAAAAAAAAAGTAAACTAAAAAAAAAGAAAGAAAAAAAAAGGATAAATTGATAAACAACTTGAAAGCTTCTTTATATTTTAAAACTGAAAATTAAGAGAAGATAAACATTTGAAGGTGCATTTTTAGATAAAAGGCATTTTAAAAAAAGATAAAATTTAAAAATCACCAAAAAACTCAATATACCCCCCAAATAAAAGATCTCTGAGGCCATATATTTTGCAAATTTTAACTATAGGACCAGACAACATAAGAAAAATCTTACTAAAATTAAAGATAAAGGAATGAAATTCAAAATTAAATAAATATCAGTGACTAAATAAATCAGAAGTGGACTTCTCATTAAAACAGATCATTAAACATGATTGTGTAGCATTTATTATAATACAGATTTATTACTCCATATCAAGTACAGGTTTTCAGAATAAATATTAAAATAAATTTTATGAAACAATTGCTATATCTTTATAAATAGAAATGCTTTACCAATGACATCCTTCTCTGGTGCTGGCGGTACAATTCTTCCCAAGTGTAAATGTTTCTCTACCAACTTATCATGAAGGCCAAGGAAATCACTGAATCTCCTAGAGACGGAGAAATTTTTCTTCTTGTAATAGGGCAGGTTGGTTTTGGTTGAAACTTTGTAAACAACGTATGCACCCATTCCATCACCAATCTTTTGGGGATCAGAAATACCTATTTCAAGAAATTGATCATTCTCTTCTTGCTAGAAATAAAAATACAATTTAACTATCGTTTGAGTGTTTCCATTTTATTTTAAAGCCACAATTTCACTGAGCAATTTTAAGCATTAATTTTTAACATTTAAATGGTTAAAAATTGATGTTAAAAACATCAACAAAAAATTTTTAACTAACTAATTTCACGAGTTTAAAATATTCCAATAACAAAGACATTAAGTAACATTTAAGTTTTGGAGAATGAAAACTAAAGCACTAATTAATCCAAAAAAATTTTACTTTTTCTTTCTACTAAACAACTTCTTTTAATTTTGTAACCATTTAATATAAAATTTAAACAAATTAACTCATGAAAAAAAAGGTAAAAGTCCAAGAATAAATTGCACAAATCATTAAAATTTAAAAATTAATGGTAGTCAAATATCTTAAAGTTAAGAAGCCAATAGTTTATGAACCTCTTCTGCACTCTTCTTAGTTTGCGGCTGGGGTGGTTCAGATATCTTCATTTCAGCAGGAGAAGAAACTGGACTGGGTTTGGTGAATTCTTCCTCAGGGGTGCAGAATTCTAACTTTGACGGTGTCTGTTGAGGTACAAAAGAATCATCTTCTAGGCTAACTTCTTCCCCACCACCTGAAATTAATTTTCAATTCAGACTTAAAACAACTTTCTAAAATACAAAAAATAAAAGTATCAGCAATGAATGAAATTTTGCCAGTCTATAGAATTACAAAATACTTTTAGACAAAGTACGAAATGTAAGAATAATTTGCCTACTGATTGCATAAAAATTTGACTTTAGTCATTTTAAAAAGTTTACAAAATATTAATCATTTTATACTTTGATGGGCATTGACTAGTTATCTTAATGAATGCTGAATTTATTACATTGATGGTAACATATTTATGCTATTTTGGTACTTAGGGATTATCTCATTTACGACAAACACGATACTAGGATCCCCAAAAGGTAGCTTCTGAATCAATGACCGCAAATTTTATATCGCGCCGCCAACACTGCCGAACTACCCGAAAACACTTGGATTCATATTTAAATGAATTTATGTGGCAGCGACTGTACAAGGATAATGACTTGTTTGCGCTTTAAAAGCTATCAAGGATTTTTGGGAGCCGAAATGAATTTAAATAATATATATGGTTTGAGTCAAGAATAATTCAATGAGTAATTATTAAAAAAATAGGTTTTTACTTTGTTTTCTTTTTATTATATATTTTTACACTTACATTTTTTTGTTATTTTATTATTATCATTTGATAAATTTAAGGTGTTTAGAATGTTCATTTGGGAAATCGCTTTTCATTCTGATGACGGATTTGTGAATTTTAAGGAGCATTGATAGGTTGATGGGATAATCCTAAATTATCACTATGGGGCCGTTCAAAAAGTACATACACAAAAATAGAGAAATTTTAACCCCCTCCCCCTTCATATATTACCGTACATACGGTCTTATTCCCCCCCTTAGAGTACGTACATTTTATTAGTCTACCCCCCCCCCTTCTTCATAAAAATTAAAATAATTATGTTTTAAATAAAATTAAATATTTATTTAAATAATTTATTCATTTAAATTATTTAAACAATAACACCCAACTTTATTTTTGAATCAATAAAAAAAACTATCTTATCTGATCAACGTAATAATTTCCTACAATCAATACAATTAATCTACAGTATTTTCCCAAGGACATTCCAAATGCTTCTCGAGAGACACCAATTCAGCGTTACCCTTGTCTGCGACTGATGAAAAATTTAGATTATCCTCATCTTCGATCCACTCTGCATCATCTTCGTTTTCCTGGTTTCGGAAGATAAACTAGTTTTTGAGAACTGATTTACTCATTCTAACAAGTGGTCGCCGTGTGAAAAAAAAATACAAGAACAAACATATGTATAATACATGTGTAGGAAAAAGTCAAATTTAAATTTGGTGTATGCTTATAATGTACGTACTTTGTATAATACCTCCCCCCTCCCCATTGTACAAAACCGTACAAAATAGCAAATCCCTTTCGGGATGTACATACTTTTTGAACGGCCCCTAGTTTTAAGTTCTCTGAAACAATTTAAAACTTCTATGAACAATCCCAAGAAATCAATTGCAACTAACAGTAATTACAACTGCTAACTAATTTGAAAAATTCAAACTAACACAACCCTATGAATAATTTAGCATGTATGCATAAATTTTGAGGGTCAAATGTATTACTAATGACTCAAACTTTGTACCTTATGACACATCACCATTATTATACAAAGTTAATGAATCATTATGACTCAACTTTTAACACCACTATAAAACTCCAAGGCCTTTTTTTTTTTTAGTTTTCATGCATTAAATTCCTTTGTTTAGTTTTCGATATTTCACCACAAATTAACAGAACAGTATGAATTCATTTTTGAGGTTACTAATAATTATAAAATACACACACAGGAAAAAATAACTATGCAATCTATACAGTAACAGGCTTAATATGTCAGAATAGAAAAATTCATATGAGAAAAAAAGATTTTATGAATTTCTATACATTTAATGAGTCAGAGAAATTTTGCATTTTTACATAAGATTTGAATTGGGTCAATTCCGGTGAAATATGCATGCATCCATGAAAAAATATCAAACTTACATGAATGAAAATAGAGATTTTGTAAAAATTCATAAGTAAACGACACTAAAGTACTGGAATATCTTAACTTTGACAACAAAATTAAAACAAACATTTACAATGGGCTTGGATATTATGGAATTTAATACTCTTCCAGCTCAATTGCATAATTAAAATAAATTTATTCTATATTTTAAAAATAACGAAAAAATATTTCGTTTCTTATGCATCTACAACAATTAGACAATTGGTTTTTGTTTAATTTATAATTGTGTAATGTATTTAATTGTATGATGTTACAGTCAATAGATGTTACATCACAATTCATTGTAATATTTTGTAATAACGGACCCACGATTTTAATTTGTGTCATTTTTCTTGTTCTATCTGCAACACATTCATGTTAATTCAAAGGTAGGCTTAAACAGAAAACATTCAACAGCTATGAACAGTGTGCTTATAGCTTTGTAAAACCATACCAAAACGTAAAGATAGGTTTGATTTTTTTTAAAAAGAAAGAAAAGAAAAAACAACTATGTGCAGTTGCTTCAAATCTTACAAATGGGAACGTTAAAGAACCTAAAATAAATTAGCAACTTTCCCTATTACATACCTACCAACATCGGAGAAATAAAGGAGATTTTACTAGCGATATTTTTTAGGCTAAAAGTAAAGTTTTGATACATCATGCATAGTCATGCAAGTCAAAAAGAGAATAATTAATAAATTTATATTAGAAAGGAAAATTAGTGAATTGACGCAAAAAAAATTTTATTATTATTTGTTATTTGGCTCAGTACTTTTTTTAATGAAATGATTAAGAAAAATTAAATAATTTTAGAATCTAAATACAATGTGTATTGAAGCTAAATATTTTTGTCAGAAATAAATTATTACAGGGTCCCTACATTCATAATATTTAACAAATCTGAGATAATTGGGTATACTATAGCCTACGTCACAGATCGTGTTATTCCTACTAAATTTAACTAGTAAACAGCCTTTTCTGCGAACCTGATTTCTAGCAACAAGTAAAAGCATCAAACGAAGTGTCTTGTTATAAGTCGCTACTCACCAGGTTGGAATTGTATTAGTCTAGTTCCTTTGGAAATAATTTATATTGTTGTTTTACCGAAGTTTATGAATTTAGTAAGCATATTTAAAACTCAGTTTATTAATTAAACTAAAAGGTAAATGTTATTCCTAGTAAGTGGAAGTAGTTGTGCTTTTTTCATATTATACCTAATTGAATTTTTTATTTCAATTGTTTGCAAATAAAGTCATTAAAAGATGAATTAAAGTTTCTTGGAATGTCAAATCCAGATTTTTTTCTACATAACTAAACTTAAAAGCCCCTCACTTCATACTTTTTTAAAATCTTGCCTCTAAATATTATTGAGTTCTCATAAAACACCTTAAAAGTACTGAAACTTTAAAAAGTAATTATACAATAATTAATAAAGAGATAAGCAAAAAAATGAATAATTTAAAGTACGATTAAAATTTACAAAAAGTTTAGGCAGTTGGTGGAAGGTCCCTCTGGTAAAACTATTACGCTTAAAATTCTCAACGAATCCTTACATTTAAATTATGAGGTGATGAAGCGTTAGGATTCTTGACAGCTCAGAAGACCCACATGAAAATACATAATTAGTGAATGACCCCCCAAGTCAAGTTTTAAATATATATTTGAGCTTCTCTGTGGTATTTAATGAATTGACCTTTCTAGTTTGAGACATTTTGTAATATTTTTAACTTCATGCTTATCATTTCCAGATTGGCATAAATATCAATATGAAAACAATTAACTTACCACTCATGAGATCGTCAATACCATTTCTCTCCATTTCTTTATTTTGAGTCTATTAGAATAAAAATTCAAAAATATTAATGCTGAATTGAGAAAAAAAAAAATTTGATGCGTAAGAGAAAATTTCAGAAAAATCAAAATATCTATTTATGTTTTGAAAATAACGAAGGGTTTGAAAATTAAAGAGCAAAACTTAAATAAATAAATAAAAAAAAATTGTTAGATTGTTGCCTGGTTAAGCATTCAACTATTTAATCTAATGCTCTTTATAAAATGTTGAATTTGTTGTCATTTAAAGATTGGCTGCATTTGAAATTTTTAGGGTTCAACTTAAATGGTATTAATTTTAAAAAAAATAAATTTAGAATTTAATTTATTTCATTGTTACTATAACGAACAAAATATCAATATTTCATTAGACCTGACAGTCAATTTTAATAGGAAAAAAAACAATAATTTAAAATTAGTAATAATTAAAAATAGTTCAAAACGAATATCAGAAAAGTTTTTCATTAAAATAAAATACTTGGAATAAGAATTGAATAATGAAAAAAAAATAGCTCAAAAAGAATAATAATCAAGTATAACTAACATTTTTTAATTAATTCTTATATTTCCTACTATTTTAAACAGGCACTTAGCTGGGGAAAGGGTAAAACTTCAATCAAAAAGGTACTATTTAATCATAAGCAGGTGGAGTTACTGATTTAATAAATTTAATATCAATTAACTTCCTTAATTGTTTTATTCATATACAATTAACATTTAATAACACATTTAATTTAAAACAAATAAATTGTCAATAAAAACATTTTACTGTATCAAAACTCCATATATTTTTTGTAAGATGAATGATAAATTAATATCAAAATCTCCTTTATCAAACACAGAATTAATTTTTTTTTTCCTTGGTTAATTTTATTATTTTTTTTTATTCAATTAAAAGTTAAATTGGAACACAGTTAAATTGGAAAATTTTCATCTAATGGAATGCAGATCTACTTAGAAATCGCTTTATGAATAAGACTATCGTAGAATGTAACAAATGAAAAAAATTCAGAAAAAAAAACATTTTTTTACAACATAAATAAAAAATATACATATCATTACCAATTTAATCTAAATTCTTGCTATAAACACAACCAATAAAGCAAAATTTAAGATTAAATAAACAGAAAATAATAGCTACAACAAACTACACATTTGAATCACAAAATTACAGAGATTATATGGCATTTGGGAACATTCTATAGAACTAAAAATCCGGCTTGTAACAGTCACTTGAAACAATAGAAACTTTATTGGCACCGACCACCATTTGAAATTTCAGCATTCGAGCTAGTCAAAAAATATAAAATTAAGATAAATTTTACTTACTAACAACAGTAAACTATTTAAAACCATATTTGCAACAAACAAAGTTCCAGTAGAGATAAAAGAACTCTAGCTGGTCAAAAAGAGGTGGTGCTTTGAATGATAAAATCACCATGGCGATAAAGTGATAATATTTGCTTGATAGTCAGAAAACAAATTGAAACTTTCAACGTAATATACAGTCATTTCATAAAGTACAGTCTTCTAAAATTAAATTTCAATATCCACCCACGCAGGCACAAAAGCTAAGTAGTAAAAATGTAATAAGAATAATGTGTATGTCATTGATTTCAAATTGAGGTAACGTCAAAATAACCTAGCCTGCTTTCTGTTAGCTTTTTTTTTCTTAATTAATACCAAAAAATATTTTCCTATTTTAAATTTTTCATGAAGACAATAAGTTTGAGTTACAAAAAGTGCAAAATTTATTTTCAAGTTAAAACATGTACAAATATTTAGCATCGATAACCTCCTTATTTATTTCTTTTGTCTGCGATATTTTTACCATGATTACATTGCAAATAGAAGACTAAAAACTATTTCATCTAAAATGATGTATCATAAAAGGCCTGAATAATAAATACAAATCTAAATTATCCTGCCATTATTGCAAATACACGAGTAGTTTTAAAGAACAAAAACAACGCTACTATAGCTCGATGTGAGCTGTGATGGCTCAGGGGGTAGAGCTTTCACCTTCCAATGAGGTACACAGGGTTCGACTCTCAACGACAGCTGGTCGATACGAATTCCGCATTGGGCTTGTACCAAGCAAAGTGCTAACGTAAAATATCCTCAGTGCTAGGCGGATCATTGGTTAGATTCCCCTTGCCGTAGAAGATTTCGGTTGTTTTTCTCCTCATGTAACGCAAACTGTTTCATAAGTCCTTTACAAAGGCAAATTTCTGCCAATACTTGATCCAAGAGTTCCCTATTCTTCTGGATTTGGGATCAAAATTACAACGCTACAGAGTAGAACATTATTTGTCTTAAAATCAAAAAATTGGGTAGACTGTTCAATGAACGGTTATATCATAAAATAGCTTAATATTTTCACTTCAATTTAACCACATTTTCTGCTAAAAATAATAATGAAATATATTGTACTAAAAAGGAAACAGTGCAATAAAATTCAATCTAAAGAATTTGCACACTAAACTTCTATTAAAATTTTATTTTTAAGTGAAATAATACTACCTATGTAACTTATTTGTAATTCGAATATTAACACCAAAACTTATCACCCTCACAGATAGATGAATAAAATTATGCACAACAATAACACGGGTAGTGGAGAAAGAAAGATATTGAGAGAAAATTAAGTGTCTTTTGAAGAAAACACAAAAATGCAATTAGAAATAAACTGCACATGTAACTTCGATGAGCATTTCATATTAAAATGAATGAAAAAAACATAAAGTAAATGCTAAGAAACAAGACTATTATTCATTCCACACAGGATTACTTTCTTAGGGGATTAAAACTTCTTTACTCTTCATAAAAATTAGAATTCGGTAAAACACCCACTTATAGTTCGATAAAATAATTTCTGGAAAATTTTTAAGATTAAGGAAACAAAATTTTTTTAAGGAATTACAATCTAATTTCTATCAGTTTGACAATCTTTCAAAAGAAATAAAATAGGAGGAACAATTCATCCACTTGAAATTTCGCTCTTTATTGATTACGTCAACATTAGTAAAAGCTAAATATCTTTTCAAAATGTTCCTAATTGATGTAAAATCAAATTCTTTTTCTTACTTCAACAGCTGATTTGAAGATATCTTCGCTTTCACCGTCAGGTATGCAGTCTTCGTAAGGAGGTGGTTCCCGAGAATCAGCCATGTTTACAAATTTGCGGCTATTTTACTTTTTATTTATTCAAATATCAGTTAAAGAGAGACAATAACAAAATTTCTGACACACGCAAGTATAGAGCTATCAGCTGTCACTTTAAACGCCACTAGTGGCGGTAGTGTCGATTGCAGTTTTACACATTTGCGATTGCAGCGCTCGAGAGCGCTATTGATTGAAAAGAGGCTATTTTCACTGCATTCGATCAAATGTCTTAGACAGGAACGAACTCACGGTTTTAAATTTACCCCGCCGCCTTCAGATTCATCTCAGAATCGCTTGATCCTCCCTCAAAACTTGTCACTAATAATGCATAAAGATTATAGGGAAGAAATAAACTAACTACCTTCATAAGTTCATTGGCGGATACTGGACAACTAATTAACTTTTTGTTTCGTAACATAGCTGAGTTAACTGCCTGCGGCATTTTCATCTCACTGGTTTCAAGTCTGAAAATGGTTTCTATCAACAGGATAGAGTTTTTTTCTTCCTTTTTTGTAATTCAAAAATGATTTTTTTTGTTCTGATAATTATTTTTAAAAGAGCAAACAAGTGTATCATGTATGGACACAATCTTGTAAGTTCTGTATAAACTTGAACATTCAATAAAACAATAAACGGAACTAAAAATATCATTTTGAAAAAAATAATAATAATAAAATTAGCTTTCCGAAAAAAAATTACCTTCTGATTTGAAATATCCACAGCCGAATTAGAAAAAAAAATCAAGTACCTTTAGAAATGCAGGAAAAACTTTGTTTCTCAGTGTTGTAGCTTTAATCTTTAAAGTACGGTCTTAATAGTCAAATAAAGAGAGATGCGAAAATTTTGGACCTCTTAATGATAATTTTTAGTTTTGTTTACTTCAACTTGTTTCTGGAAATATTTAAGTGAATCAAACAATTTCTGTTCTTAATAATTAAATTTACCCCAAAAAAATTTAATCAGAAAATTAAATTTTCTACTATTATTATTATTTTGTTGAAAAATAGTTTAAAAATTTCAAATGGCAAAATAAAAATTTTAAGGAAATCAACTAAATAGGCTCTGAGTAACGAATTTCGAAAAAATAAAAAATTTAAATTTTCACTGTTCTGAATCTGCTCGAATTTCAAATTTGTCATTTAGAATTTCATAGATAAAAATAATATAAAAATTTGAAACTTGTCAATTCAAAATATTTACAACCGTTATTTAATTAAAAGCTATAAACTTAGAAAATATTAATTATTTTCTGCAATTATGTAGTTATCTTCCGATTAATACGTTTCATAATTGTGAGCAAAAAGTTTTTTTTCTTCTTTGGCGGGGGGTGATATCATGTTTTCAAATGGTCAATAATATGAATTGTTCAAACAAAAAAAAAGAAAAGAATAATAAGAATTCTTTCCCCGAGAGCTTTATGGTTCTTGACCATGTATAAACAATGAGAACAAAGAAAAGTCTAATACAGAGAAAATGATGAAGACTAGTGAAACAGTATTGACTGCGGAAGAATTTCCCGAGGAAAAATAGTTCTTTTCAACTCCGATTTTTAAATTTTATTCTTTCTTAACATCAAACATGGTAAATTTGTTTTGAAATTTTATGGGGACGTAAATAAGTGCTCATGACATTTGTGTTTGTTTTTATTTTTACAATTTCTATCATGTGCATGCTCTTCAATATTCTCAAACCTTAAAATTCGTTTTTCTCTGAATCAGCTTTCATAGACATAAACCGTTTTCCCCCTTAAATATATATATATATATATATATATATATGTTACCAGCAAAGTAAAAAATACATCTCCGATTCGTCAAAATGTCACTCAAAAATGACGAATTCAAAACGTTATCCGATTTTATATTAATTTATTCGTGGATATAATTACGTTTATTCGATATTTTAATACTTACTGACGATAGATTAGAAGAAACATCAGTGTTTGGAGTATCGGGCAAATATATACCGGGCAATGGCACTTGACCTTAAAAAAACATCAGTGTAGGGTATACCGGGCAAATGAATACCGGGCAGTGGCACTAGACCTAGTATATATTTCGGACATTTACCAAAGGTGTAGTCATACTAGGTCTAGTTAAATGCCACTACCCGGTATACATTTCTACCCGGTATACATTTGCCCGGTATATCCTACACTGATGTTTTTTATAAGGCTAACTGCCACATGTATATATATATATACGTGTGCTTAAACTATTATTATCTTTTGTCATGGTAGTTGAAAAATATTTTTAAGACACATACGTGTTAAAACATAAATGTTGCTTCCAATAAAAAAAAAAATGCTTCTTCAACGACCGTACTTGTTGGTACCAATGAAATAAACATAAGATTATAAAGCATTTTATTGAAATCTGGTAAAATTTGGACGAAAGAGCTGAGCTCTCAATTCGCGATCGCAACGAACTATAGGGGGCGTTGTTGTATGAGACGCATACCTGCGATTTCTATATGAACCGTCATTCAGTTACTCTGGAGACGTCGTTAATGTAGCGTGTAGCATTGCAACGTTCCTTCTTTAATGTGGCTTATTAAATTTAAAAAAGAAAAATGCTTGATCTTCTTTCTTGTACAACCGAAAACAAAATGGTATCTCTTTTTATTAGAGAAGGAATAAGGGTCTCGATTTGAGTTAAATCTACGATTTGAATTAGTTTCGTTTCTGATATTCTTATAAGAGTT